AGATCTCTGCCACCATCCCCTAGCCACCTCACAGCCCAAGCCTACAGCACCTGTTATTCTCAGGCAGCCCCCCATCCAAAGTACTAACCAGGCTCAAGTTTGCTTAGCTTTTGAGATCTGACATGAACGGGTACGTTCGTGTTGGCTTTGCCGTAGACAAACGTAAATAAATAAATCCAGTAGATTATGTTAAATTTTTTTCGAATGATGTTCGTTTGCTTTAGTGGCAGTAAGCTTCAAGCAACGCGTCAACTCGTATCGATTAAACACTTCGATAGTGCAGTTTGTTGCTGGCCACCTCACGTTTTGAGCCTTTTGGGCCCGGTGCTCAGCAACTGTTTAAAAACTAAAAATCTGAGCTTCAGTCAAACATTTGAGAATTCCGTGAGAAACGGTGACGTCAAATTAATGTAATCACGAAGTAAAGAAATGCAACGCGGCGAGATGAATCAAAGCCTTTTGCCAAGGCCACGGCTTAATTACCGGCGCTTGCAAGTGGCCACCAGTGGCACGTGAGGGAACTCACAGCAAAGAGGCTCTTCCCCAATGCGACCCAATCATCCGTCAAGGCCAAACTCAGAGGAAGTTCACTCGCTGGCTCCAAGGTTCTCAATAGGTTTATACCGATTACGTTTCCCTGGTTTCTCCCAGGAAATCTTCCTCTCGTTGAGGACGCTGTCCGGAGAAATCCGCCCGTGACGTTAAAAGTCCCGACGACCTAAACGATTCTAGATTTGAAGCTTTCGTGACTGCAAGGATCCATACTCTTTGGTTCTATTCGGTAAAGTCATGTGGATAAAAAATAAAACAACAAAAATCACGACGTTTCGGCCACAACACAAGCGGCCTTCATCAGGTGAAGGGACCAGACTGTCTCGAGGACAGCGCTGGAGTGAAACACAGCCAAGCTCAGACCACCAGCATGTGGACTCTACCTTGCCCCCTCGCCAGCCTGCACATGTTCACCCTCTCGCCACCTTTCATCATGCTAAGTCCGCCTATCAAATGCAAATTTGTATGCTAATTCCTTTGTCAAGGCACCTTAATTACTCTCACACAGCTTAAAGGTCACGGTCTGAGCGTGGCTGTGTTCACCCCAGCGCTGTCCTCGAGACAGTCTGGTCCCTTCACCTGATGAAGGCCGCTTGTGTTGTGGCCGGAACGTCGTGATTTTTGTTGTTTTAATGTTTTACCTACGCGACTTTAGCGAATAGAACCCAAGAGTATGGACCTAAACGATACCAAAACGTGGCCCCACCTCAAGATGACGGACGACCTTTGATCAGTTGCGTAATAACACACCTCTCAATGACGTTACACCATTTGGCTGCGGCTCTCCCCTCTCCCTGTATTGCGAGACAGTCTCCTTCCCCTGGTAGGCCCCGCCGGGTTTTTTTTTTGTACCTCACACACGTGGCAACTCTTACCTCACCGTCTTCCCTTAAGTTGGCCGATGGGTCCCTCAGTAGCGTTCCAAATTCGCGAAACAATTTTGCAGCTTTGCCATGAAATCATTAATTGTGACAGCAGGATGTTACATAAATATACAACACCGAACATTTCCAGGCATGGGGCCAAGCTGAAATAGCTCTATTATGGCCGCAACTCCCATTGGGAGAGGCCGGTGTCCTTGTGTTAACGTAAGCGCCTCACTCAACCTGATTCAGATTATCCACACGTGTGGTCGTGGGCGCTGGAATTAGCCTTCTCCGGCGGTTTAGAACTACAACAATTAGGTACAGTAATACATTCTGTTTTTAAAAGGTTTCAAGGTTTTATTTGAAATGTAATATAACCCCCCCACTCAAGGCCAAATCAAAACATCGTGCAAAACAAATCTATAAAAATGACGAGAAAACCCATTGTAGCATAAAAGCAGCGCAGTCTGAAAAACCATAACTTTGAAAGAAACATGTCAAATGTGTATTAAAAGCTCTGGCTTCGTGCATCTGCGAAAAAGAGCTTCATAGCTCATTGGATTCCTCCAGTGTCGTTAAATATTCTGAGTCAGATTTTGCCTTCAAATGGGACAAATGTGGCCAAGGTTCTAATCCGCTACTTCGTCGAGGTACAACATTAGCCCTGCAGTGCTCGCCGTTCTACGCGAGTTTCATTTGTTACATTTTTTCTCGTTTCCCTCCCATGCGTCTTTCCCCCCCCCCCCCCGGCTGTCTCAGGTCGTGGGACGGAGGACCCCACGCGGATCTCTCACCACAGCAGCGCAGCCCTTCGTATAAAAGGGAGCGCCTCACAGAAGCAGATATCACAGCGCTACCTCCGAGGTCCCTTGCAGTGACCTCTGGTCCACAAAGAAAGAATATTTCCGCCCGGGCTCTTGACACATTTTTGTCGCGTGGCATCGAACGGACGTGTTCCATTCTCAGAGCTGGAATTTACACCACACTACTGTGTGCAGAAACAAATGTAATTGAGAAAGGATTATTCCGTGGGCAGTCATTGGTGAAACAGGCTGAGACCATGAACTTCGCTGCATTGACTTCCCGTTGCTGAATGAATATGTTACGAGGTCGCGCATTCATTACACGCAAAGTGTCCGTCAAAAGTAAACCACAACACCTTGCCGATCTCGTCCAGGAGCATAAACCATCACGTGAACTCTGGTCATCCTCGCGGCGGCTTTTGGATAGCCATCGAATAAAGACAGGCACTGCATCGCACGCTTACAGATGCACTTCTGCGGCCGTCTGGAACGCTCCTCCTTCCGATATGAGAAAGTCACTGGAGCGATGCACTTTTAAATCATCTAGAATGAAAACTAATTTATTTGAAACTGCTCATTGTATTTCGATTTAAAGCTTTCGTGACTGCAGGGATTCACATTCTTGGTTCTTTCGGTAAAGTCACGTAGAAGGGAAATAATAACATAATATAAAAAAACAATAAAATTCTCACGACCGCCACTTTTTAAAATTTTCTTGCTGTGTTTTTCACACCTGATGATGATTGCTTGAGTTGCAATCGAAACGTCGTGAGAATTTTATTGTTTTATTTTTATTATTTCCCTTCTACGTGACTTTACCGAAAGAACCAAGAATACTGCTCACTGTGTTTACTTAATTTTCCTTGCCCCCACACCTCTGATTAGCACAGTTAGTTGCGTACGGTGGGAAATAAGTTCAACATACACACGTACATACTTGAGAACCCGGTTTATAATTCACAGGCGACTTGCCGGAACTCAAACCCAGCTAGGCACTCTGACCTCTGAGCCACCCGGCCACTTTCTCCACATTTGCTTAAACAATACAGACGTTGTGTATTATTACAATATACGCTTTGTGTAGCAGCAGCAGTAGTAGTAGGATCACCATCGGGTTATTTCTCCACGATGCAGAGAGCCCACCCCACGAGTCAGGCAATTACAGGAATGCGGCATCGCAGGGTCGGCCCATGGGAGCCATCGAGACTCAATGAGGCATTCAAGGGGCAGGGATTTCAGCGTCACGATGCGGTCACGCAGCCCGGCGAGCGATGCCTCTGCTCCTCGTCATCCCGGGGGGGGGGGGGGGGGGGTGCGGTTAACCGGCTACGGGCTAACGCGTTGAGAATTTCCCCTCCTCTCGAGCGCACGACTGTCTGTGGGCAGAAGAATCAAGTCGACTCCTGAAGATGCCCCGCGGCCCTGAGTTTAACTGTGGTCGCGGAGTTCATGGGAGTGGGAGTGCGCAAAACCCAACAAAGACAAAGATCCCCCGTGTAGCCTTAACAGACTGTCGGGGCAAGTGCCGTTAGCGATGCACCTATAAAGGCCGGGACGGAACACGAAGGGGCGGGTGGCCAACACCACGCCCGGCCGCCTTTGTCTCCCCAGTGGCGATGTTTACACATCGCAACCAGGTACTCATATGAGGCTGAGTCGACCTAGGGGAGGCCCAGGATAGCGCAGCGTGCTAACCGCTGCACTACCGCTCCCCATTCAACACACACACACGCACGCACGCACCGCAATACAATGCGGTGCATGCTAACGGAGCGTTCTAAACGCAACCGCATCTCACGACTCGCTGTACGGAAACAGCGGGCGTGTTTGTTTTGCACAGCGATTGCAGCCAGTCAAAGGGCAGAGGGGGGGGGAACGGGAAGCTTTTGTGTCCGGACTTCAACAAGGGGGCAGGGAGTCAAGAGCATGGATGGCGGGGGGGGGGGAGGGAAGTCCAGGCTGAAGAAAATGAGCCAACTCCCATTGAGAGCAGATTTGTCAGGGGACTTAAATAAATAGCCGTGGTCGCTGGAGCACAGAGCGCACGGAGGGGAGCGAGACGAGAAGGGAGAGGAAGGAGAGCCTTCGGAAGGAGGTAGAGTGAGATGAGAGGGAGCGGTAAGGTCGGGGCTGCGTCCATGGAGATCGTGATGACGGTGAGGGCAACTTTGACGTGAACCCCAGCATGGATTGGGAGAGCTAGTGCTTGGACTGGAGTCCTGGGGGAGGTGGTTCCCTCCTGTCGATGTGGATATGGAGTCTGGCAGAGTCATTTCGGGTCACCTGGAGTGTGGAGGCGAGGGATTTGGGACGGCCGGAGACGGGAGTGGTGCGATAACCGAGCCGGGATGCGATGAACGCGTGGATGTGACCCTCATCCACGCCTTCATCCATCCACACAACCACCCGTGTCTACAACAAAAGTCCCCCATGAAGCCATAAACAGACTGTTGGGGCAAGTGCTCTTAGTGAGGATCTATGAAGACCAGCGTGACATACAGGGGGCTGGGCGGTCTACACAACGCCCATGCCGCCTTTGTCTCCCTAGCGGCAATGTTTACGCACCGCACCAGGTACTCATTTCAGGCTGAGTCGACCTAGGGGAGGAGGCCCAGTAACCGGTTCAGATGATCGCCACTGGGTGTTGCCCGTGAGCCGGAATCGAAACCGGGTCGCCGTGCTCGTAGCGCAGCGCGCTAACCGCGACGCTAAAAGCCCTGGCTTCTATTTGAATCGACGGTGCACGCGCGCAGGTGCACGTGCGGGGGGAGTGGCCCACCTGGCACGATTCCCCGCGGTAGCTGCTGGGACAGAAGCACTGCTCCACGGGGGCTGCGTCGGGCTCCACGCGCACGCGCCCCACGTGCAGCACGTAGGCCGGGCCGCCGCTCGCGGGGCCGGAGGAGGGGTCGTAGACGGAGCCGGCGTGCGAGCGCAGGGCGGCAGTGACGTGCGGGTACGACGGGGGGACGCCGAGCGTGCGCACGTGCAGCTCCTGCAGCCCGGCCAGCACCAGCACGAGCTCCTCGCGCGTCACCCCGCGGCTCCCGCTGCTGCTGTGCACGAAGTTCCCCTGGGAACGGCGGAAAGGGAGGGCTCGGCATACAAGCAGGAATGGCAACCACACGATGGGGAAATGGCGTCAACCATTGGCCAAGTTTTCCCGTACTCTCAATGTTAAGGCGTTATCGGCCAATTAATGAGTGTTTACACGTGGGAGGAAACCGGAGAAACCTGGATGCAACCCACTCGTGCAAGGGAGAACCACTCTATCCCATACAAAAGGAGCAGGTGGAGCCCACATTTTTGCTTACTACCGCCGTCTCCTGGCCAGCCAGGGTACGGCTCCTCCTCGACCGCCCACATGAAGGGAGTTTCGCAACATTTGTGCGGCAATCCACCAACCCCTCGCCTCCACAGCGCTGGATTACGGGCGAAATGCATCGCCGCAACCACCGCCCCTAAGATCGTATGTTTCGCCACAGTGCCAACTTGCTGGATGTGTTGTGGCGAGACACGGGAGCTACACGTGAAGCCGTGCCAAACCGGGGATCCGGTATCCCAATGAGTGGTCAGTGCTTATGCTGTGACAGATGGAGCCTCAGAGTTGAGCCTCTGTGAAACAAATGATGATCAATCAAAAAACCCACTTGCTGTACTACAAACCCGACCAGCAAACTGTACAGGTGGGTGTCAAATGCGTCTAACGACTCCATCTTTGTGCGATCCGCTGACCCTCACACATAGCTGTGCGTCACAACGTTCGGCACAGGTCAAACCGAGCACCCAGGATGAAGAGAGAGATGGCTAGGCCTTTAATTCCATTCTATTTAGTAGCACAATTAATTAATTACGTATTTGTTACCAAGCTATGAGGAGGTGCTTGTACCGGATTACGTTAGCCACTACTGCAGGGTCGCAAGTTCAAATCCCGGTTCAGGGGATTCGCACAGCGCACCATCACCATCGTCCCTCTATAATCGTTTAGAGTATTTGGCTTCTATACAATTTTCACATGATGAGCCACTTCGCTTGGTTATCATTTGTGGCCTGGTCGCTTCTGAAAAAGAGCTCCATAGCTCAGTGGGCCTTACGTGGTAAAACAAAAATATTTAATTACAAAAAATAGCTAGCTAAAAAAAATCGATGGACCACTTTGTCAGAATTCGACACGGGCTGCCGTATGGAGAGACTGGGTCGCGCATAACGAGACCGGAGAATTTCCAACGGTGGCTCTGGGCCACCCACGGACACGAGCCTCGCAGGCAGACGCATTGACGCCCTCACACGCCCGCGTTGAGTGGCGTGACGATGGCTGACGCCGAGAGTCGGCGGTGTTCACCTCCACGAGCTGCACGTTGCCCTCGCTGGTCTGGTCTGGCCCAGGCCGCTCCTGCCCCATGTGCAGCAGCGTGAGGCCATTGCCCTGTCGGAGATTGTGGGGGGGGCGTGGAGCGAGCGTAGAAGGCAGCAGCCAGCGTTATAGGGGGAGGGAGGCGCCTGGTGCCGCACACGCGCGCAATGACGAGCGGACGCGAGCGTGGTTCGGGGGGCAGGCACGCAAATAAAACATGTGTGCGCAGACGCAGACAAACCAAAACACACGCACACAAAGTCCAGCTTCAAAAATGTTATTTTATCATCGACTTGTGTAAGAGTTTATGTTAACGGCATGGAGCATCGGCCATATGATTCAGTGGCGATTGGTCAAGGCAATTTGCCAGGCACCGCCAGGCCTCACAGGAAAAAGACAAAGATACCCCCCTATAGCCTGAATAAACTGTAGGGGCAAGTGCTGTTAGCGAGCACCTATGAAGGCCGCCACGATACACGAGGGAGTGGGTGGCCAGCACCACGCCCGGCCGCCTTTGTCTCCCCAGCAGCACCAGGTACTGATTTTAAGCTGAGTCGACCTAGGGGAGGCCCAGGACCGGTTCAAACAATCGTCTTTGATGTTGGCCAGAAGTGGGAATCGAACTTGGGTCGCCGGGTTCATAATGGAGCGCACTAAACTCATAGGCCCCACGGGCCCCAGGGGCCCCACAGGCCACATAGGCCCCACGGGCCCCAGGGGCCCCACAGGCCACATGGGCCACATGGGCCCCAGAGGCCCCACAGACCACATGGGCCACATGGGCCCCAGGGGCCCCACAGGCCACATGGGCCACATGGGCCCCAGGGGCCCCACAGGCCCCATGGGCCACATGGGCCCCAGGGCCCCCACAGGCCACATGGGCCACATGGGCCCCAGGGGCCCCACAGGCCACATGGGCCACATGGGCCCCAGGGGCCCCACAGGCCCCATGGGCCACATGGGCCCCAGGGCCCCCACAGGCCACATGGGCCACATGGGCCCCAGGGGCCCCACAGGCCCCATGGGCCCCACGGGCCACGAATGTCATGCTGGGCTATTGGACAGCCCGGTCGCCGAAATGAAACCACAATTCCACTGATCCCATCAGGAATCGTGCAAAAATTCTAAGAAAGGCATTGTGATCCCAGGCTAGAAATCGGGAGAATCACCCAGCAGTATAAAGGACTATTTTTATTATTGCTGTTTTTTTTTTATTTGGCTGCGGCGCTGTGGTTTATCACCTTGCGCTATGAACCAAGTGACCAGGGTTCAATCCCAGTCACGAACCAGCATCAGTTGAGCGTGATATCTGAACTGGTCCAGAGAGATATGCCTCCTTCACAAAACCTGCACTGACCAGTGTAGTGAAGCATGGTCGAACAGCCCCTTGACTGAGACGGCGTGGGGAGGCCTTTGATCCAATAGTGGATCGACAAAGGGCAGTGAATTATTAAACGAACATGGGCATGGTTCTCACCGACAGGAGCAGTAGAGGGCGATGGTCATGTGATATTGCGTTGGGCACCTCCACGGGGCCCTCCCAGCTCAGCTGATAGCTCAGGGTGGCTCCATACCAGTGGACCTGCAACATACACACACACACATACACACACATTCGTATGTAGACAAAGATACCCCATATAGCCTTAACAGACTATTGGGGCAAGTGCTGTGAGCGATCACCTCTGAAGGCTGGCACGGCACACGAGGGCGTGGGTGGCCAGCACCTTCGTCTCCCCAGTAACGATGTTTACACACTGCACCAGATACTCATTTGAGACCGAGTCGACCTAGGGGAAGCCCAGCACCGGTTCAAATAATCATCTCTGGTGTTGGCCATGAGCGATAATTGAACCTCGGCTTGCCGGGTTCGTAGCGCAGCGTGCTAACCACTTCACTTTCACATACACATGCATACATGCACATGTACAGACAAAGATCCCCCGTATACCCTTAACAGACTGTTGGGGCAAGTACTTGCACACACGCACACACACACACATACACACATACACGTGTACCTTGTCACCCAGATAGGAGGCAGGAGCCGCCCAGTAGACCTCGTTAAGCGGGGACTCCGGCTCCCAATCCCGTACGGTCGCGCGGTTCCTGTGCTGGTCAAGGTGGGCGAAGATGGGACCCTGTCGGCCTCCAACCAATCTCCAACCAGCCATCTCCATCTCCTACACACACACACACGGGTGCAGCCAATCTCAAACAACCCATCACCTACACACACATAACTATCCAACCATCTCCATCATCTTCATACCAACAAAGCACATGGACAGATGGACTTAATCGATAACTGCAGAGACACACACACTACCGTGACATGGACACAAAAGCACATTCAACAAACATCTTGCAAAATCCACCAACTCCACAGCAACACAGGGACACATGGCCACACCAGCACACTCAATAGCAATACGAGTGCCCTTTATTTATCCAGAAAATAAACTCACTGGGTCTCAAGACCCTTTTTCAGGAGGGACCTGCATTGGAATGGTTGGCCAATCCCATTCACGAGTGGCGTTTTGGGGAACAAATCATAATATCCAGAGGAAACCCGCACTCACGAGGCGGTTGACACTCAGCGCTCGCACACTACGGCAAGGTCACACTGGCCGACTAAACAACCGCAAGGCCATCTCAACAACAACAACAGCCAATCCACACGAATCGTCATCATCATCATCACCATCATCACCGTTGTTGTCACAGGTAAATAATGTCAGGGTCATCCCAAGCCCAACCGGGACGGCTAGAGCCACGAGGACCGCGGAGGGGATTATTTATTCATCTTACCGGTTCCCAGCGGCGGACGGAACTCTGGCACTGGTCGGTGACGCCAAAACAGAAGCAGCTGGTGCAGCCCTTTGGGTTTGCGGCACTCAGGGAGAAGGTGCCGGCCCGGCACCGCTCGCACCGTCCGCCCTCCACGTTCTCCTGCGAGCCGGCACACAGACGTCACCGGGGGCGAGGTGGCCGCCGCCAGGGGGTGGCTCCAACACAGCGGCCGTGAAGGTTTCTGCTCCTCTACCGTGAACTCCCAGCTGTCTGTGGGTGTGCGTCTATCGTTCTTGCGGGGAGCGGCAGTGTCGTGGGTAGCGCGGTGCGCAACGGACCCGGCCACCCGAGTTTGATTCCCGCTCACGGCCAACACCAGTGACGGTTATCTGCATCTGTGGTGGGCCTCCACTAGGTCGACTCGGCCTCAGATGAGCACATGGTGCGGGGTGTAAACATTGCCACCATGCGCCTGGTGCTGGCCACCCACTCCCATGTGTGCCGTGCCGGCTTTCATAGGTGCTCGCTAACAGCACTTGCTCCTACCGTCTGTTAAGGCTATACAGGGGATCTTTGTCTTTGTATCAAAATAATTATTATTATTTAGCTTGTTTACCCAGGAAATTCTCATCGAGTCTCAAGACCCGTTTTCAGGAGGGTCCTGCCAAGTAGTGCGCGACGTTGCCGTGTGGAATCCCAACTGAGCAATTTTCCGATATTTTTTTTCAGCAATGGGACGTTTGGCCAATACCAGTCGCAATGTATGTGTTTTTTCGGTACTATATGCAACTGAAGAACGCAGAGAACACAGAAACTCCACAAAGAAAGGCACCCCGAGCCAAAAATGAAACCGAGGCGCTTCCTGCTGGAAAGGCGCGAGCGTTACCACCATGTGCCATCTGCCCCGTAATGATGAGACACTGGACTGCAGAGGGGGGGGGGGGGGCGCGGGGGGCGGGTGGAGGTGGGCCGGATGGGGGTGTGGGGGCTGCACCTTGCACAGACACTGCCCGGTGAAGGGGTCACACTGGGCTTGAGTGATCCCGGCCAGTTCGCAGTTGCAGGGCAGGCAGTCCGGGTACTGGAAAAATCCGGGCAAGCACTGGTCGCACTGCCGCCCGGACACGTTGGCCTTGCACCTGCGGGGCAGAGAGGGCACGGGAACACGGCGTCACGGCAATCCCCACCTTAGCGTCAGCCTTAGAGCTGTAGGCGACGTAAAATGATGCTGTTAGGGAGCACCTATTAACGTCGGCGCGAAGCATGGGGGGACGCTGTGGCAAGAACCATATTCGTCCGACTGCCTGTCTTCCCAGTACGTTGAACGTCTGTCGCACCGTACGTAGCCAACTGTGCTAATCAGAGGTCTTGGGGGAAGGAGAACAAACTAAACACAAGAAGCAGTTCTAAAGAAATGAGTTTTCCATCCAGGTGATTTAAAAGCGCATAGCTCCGGTGGCTTCGTAATATCGGAAGAGCGTTCCAGATGGCCACAGAAGCACATCTGAAAGCGCACGATGTGGTGACCGTCTTTGTCCGATGGTCAGCCAAAAGGCGGTGTTATTGATGACTGCTTTAGGCTTCTTCACAATTGTAACGTTTCAAGTTAAAACCGCGGTCAGGAGTTCGTGTGATGGGTGACCGCAGTTTGTCAGTCCCCACCACTGCACCAGGTATACATTTTATGCCGAGGCAACCTAGGTAAGGGACAGGCGAATTTTTTAAAATACAAATTGCCACTGGGGATTTGTGTTGTCAGGAACCGGGCGCGGGTTGCTTTGTGGGGGACCCTACGGCACTGCTACCCCGTATGGGGAATCTACAGGATCTACGGCGATTCTTCTGCACAGGATCGTGATAAGAATTGTTTTGACCCTTTCTGGCAATAAAACAGCAGGTGTTAAGACGTTCGAACAAAAAATAGAAGCCTTTTACAATGAATCAAGGCTGCATTAACCGCACACGGTACTTGCGGTGAACATGCAAAGAAAACACGCTCTGATAATATCAGCATTGCATTTGAAACTGATTGGCCTCCACCTGCGACGGCCCTCATCATGGCATAGTCTCACCACTAATGTCAGACCACAGAACGCTAAAAGTACAAAGACAATGCCACATGTGTCAGAGCATTTAGAGTTCGGGGTGAGCGGCTCATGATGGCACGTGTCCGCGGGGCCTAACCCGTTGGTTTTCACGATGGTTGCGGCTTTTCCACGTTTCTTGCGTTTCTCCTCTCAGTTTCCTGGGTTTATTTTTTAACGTTTATTGGGGTTCTCTCCATTTCTTGGGTTTAGTCTTTCGTTTCTTGAGTTTCTCTCCGTTTCTTGGGTTCATTTCTACGTTTCTCGGGTTTCTTTCTGTGTTTCTTGGGGTTCTCTCTTAAGTTTATTGGGTTTCTTTCTACGTTTCTTGGGTTTATCCTCTCAGATTCTTGGGTTTCTCTCCTCAGTTTACTGGGTTTCTCCTGTCAGTTTCTTGAGTTTTCTCCTGTCAGTTTCTTGGGTTTCTGCATGGGTTTCTTGGGTTTATTTCCTAAGTTTCTTGGGTTTCTTTCTACGTCTCTTGGGTTTCTCCTCTCAGCTTCTTAGGTTTCTCTATCAGTTTTTTCGTTTCTACGTTTCTTGGGTTTCCCCCCCCCCCACCCACCCCTCTACAATTTCTCACCGGCACTGCCCGGTCCGCGAGTCGCAGCTGGCGGGCTGCGGGTTGAGCGTCCCCTCGCCGGCGCAGGCGCACTCCTCGCAGCCGACGAGCGGGTGGCAGGCGAAGCTGAGCGGCTCGCACTGCGTGCACTCGGGCAGCAGCGTGCGCTGCGGGCAGATGCAGCCGCCCGTCGTCTCGTCGCACAGCCGCCCGCTGCACTCGCACGCTGCGCACGGCAAACAGAGACAAAGATCCCCACAACACACGCGCACCCGTGCGGCCTTAGCAGACTGTTCGGGGGGGGGGGCAAGAAGCGGCACCTGCGAAGGCCGGCACGGCACGCGAGGGGGGTGGGTGGCCAGCACCACGCCCGGCCGCCTTTGTCTCCCCAGCGGCGATGCTTACCACGCACCGCACCAGGTTGCTCGTTTGAGACCGAGTCGACCTAGGGGAGGCCCAGGATCGGTTCAGATAATCGGCACAGGTGTTGGCCGTGAGCGGGAATTGAACTCGGGTCTCCGTGTTCGTAGCGCGGCAAACACAAGCACGGTTAGCCACGGTGTGGCAATTCTTTACGACTGTGGTTCTCAATGTTCTTGTTGGCTACTGCACCCCCCCTTGTTGAATTTTGTTTCAACCGAGTAACCCCCCACCACTCCCTTGCCTGACCCAACATGGTTCTGAGAAATCAACGTATGAATGACGAGCATCAAAATTTTAACCAATTGTCCATTTTTTGGCTAGTTAACTGCAAGGGAATAATGAACAAAGTCAACGGACGCTCCGCACGCGTGACGCACTTTGTTCATGTCTTGACTTAAAGCTTTCGTGACTGCAGGAATTTATATTCTTTGGGTCTTTCGGTAAAACTGCTGAGGCAGGAAAAAAAACTATATTTTTCCTGCCTAAGCAGCTCACCCCACTATATTTTCCACCTGATGACGATTGCTTGTGTTGCGATCGGAACGTCGTGATATTGTCATTGTTTTATTAATTGTATTATTTTTTCTATCTAAGTAGCTTTACCGAAAGACCCAAAGAATATTAATTTGTTAATGCTCGCCGGTTACTCTTGGAAGCCCGCATTGTTTACGATCAATGAGTTTAGAAAGGTATTTATATAGTTATAGGTTGCCATGCGGTTTTTAAGATTCATAAATCACCTCACGTACCCTCAGGGGTCCGCGTACCTCCTGGCTGAGAACCACTGCTTTATGGTAACGCTAACCTTTCAATTGCCTGTCACATCAGAATCAGAAGATTTATTTATACCGGAGGAATCCGAAGAGCTCTATTTCCATGATGTCCAGTAGAGGCACAGGGTCAGAACGTTATAACAAACAATGCAAAAACACGATAGGAGTGCAAAGTATAGGAAAGCTAAGCCAATCACTAAATATTAAAGTATTTTATTTGACCAAATGAAGCCCACTGAGCTATTGCCTTCATCACACATTGCTGGCCGTTTACAAATGAGTACAATAGTCACCCGATATCGGTTTAAAATGTTCTGTAATTTAATTGCAATTGTACTGTGGACAGTCTAAATAATAATCTCTCGCCGAGCCGACAAGTGCTACAGAGAATTGATCACTTCACGTTGATTTATGTTTGTGCACGCGTTTCGGCTTCTCGATTAACTAACCAGTTGTTTTTGCTGTGTTTTCTGTTTGCTTCAGAACTGGACTCTATACTCTTTGGTTCTTTCGGTAAAGTCACGTAGTTATAAAATAAAATCAAATGTATCACGACGTTTCGGGCGCAACACACGAAGCGTCCGTCATCAGGTGGGACAACCACAGCAAGCAACAATTGCTGAAGTGGTCAGCAATTGTTTCTTGCTGTGGTTGTCCCACCTGATGACAGACGCTTGTGTTGCGCCCGAAACGTCGTGATTCGTTTTATTTTCTACCTGCGTGACTATGGATCCCTGCAGTCACAAAAGCTTCAAATCAAGATTGAACTGGACTCTATTTGAACTGTTTTGCTTGAATCATTTTGGTGAGCACGGTCACCCTTGCAAATCTAATTCTCGTCTCTCGATTTCTTGCCTGGTTCAACAAAATCAACTTGAACGCAGACGCAAACACGCATACATGCACTTAGTCTATATAAATAAAGCCCTTCATCTGTATGTCTCAAAAACCTCGAGGATACTTTGCGACAAGGTAGAAAGCTGAAATTTGGTACACACGTAGCTTTTAGGACACAAACAACAGGAAACATCTGAAAATCCGAGATTTTTCATTTTAAGGTCTCGATTTTAAGTGCCCCATAAACATGTTTGTGCGTAGTGTCATTCAGAAACCGCTCAAAATATAAGTTTGCCGTTTTTTTCGTTCCTAGAGCGTTGAACAGCAAAATAAAATGAATACGTGAACCACCGTTCGATCTTTTATTGTTTTTGAGATATGTCGGATTCAAGCGGTTTTGAACAAAAAAAAAACGCATTTTATGATGTTCAATTCTGAATAATTCGAAAACGGCAAAAGATAGGAGCTTCCCCTCATGAAGGTGGTGGAGGTGAGGGGGGGGAGGTGGTGGAGGAGGTGGTGGAGGGTGGAGGTGGTGGAGGGTGGAGGTGGAGGAGGGTAGGGGGATACTCACGGCGGCAGTGCGGGAAGCCGTAGTGCCCCGTGGCGCATCGCGTGCACTGCCGGCCGATCACATTGGCCCGGCAGCGGCACTGCCCGCCGAGCGGCTCGCAGTCGGGGCCCAGCGAGCCGGCGCCGTGGCACTCGCACGGCCGCGCGCCGCCGTTGTGGAAGGCGGAGAGGGAGGCGGACGCGTCGCGGCAGAAGGGAGGCGATGCCGCGGGGCTGCACGCCGCGGCCAGGCGCACGAGGTGGGGGGTGGGAGGACGAGGTGAGACCGATCTGTACGACCGCGCAATAGCGCATTCCCGAATTGACACAAGTTGTTTATGTTGAACGGGGGAGCACTGGTGGCGAGATGTTAACTCCCACGCCTGGCACGCAGGAGGTCGTGGGTTTGTTCCCGACCCTGAGTTTACGTGTTCTCCCTGTGGTCGCGTGGATTTTTCTCCGGGTCCTCCCGGTTTTTTCCTCCACGTTCGGAAATATGCGTTTATCGTAGTTGCCTGCAATACATTTTCGCGTGATGTGCCAGCTCATTGAGCTATGTCATTTGTGGCAAGGTCGCTTCTAAAAAGAGAGCTATACAGCTCAAGTGGGCCTTACCTGGTAAAAACAAAAATAGATAGTTTCATAGTCTGTTCATGTGCATGATGTTGCTGCTGCTGCTGCTGCTGGTGTTGTTATTGAACGTGTAAGGTGATGGCTTACTCGACGTGAAAGCTGTTTCCTCCGCAGAGCGAGATGAAGTCGGCGGACTTGTCGGTGGGCTCGGGGGATAGCATGGTGGGGTCAAACGAGTCCTCCGGGACCGCGAGCACGTACTCCTGGGAAAGGCGGCGCGCACAAACACAGCCCACGTCAGGGACCACCAGCACGCCGGGGTGGTGTCTTTGCAGCTCACCACCACCATTATTATTATCATCATCATCACGATTACATTCAATTACATTTTCTTAGCTGAGCCTGGAGAGGGCTGGAACCAGGTGAACTGTTTTGGCCATCATCCCACCACTTTGTACTTGAATGATGGTCATTGTCACTACGTATGTATGTTGGGCGAGCGGTAGTGTAACGGTTAGTGCCCTGCACTACGAACCCAGGGAACCGCTCACGGCGAACACCGGTGAGGAATATCTGAACTGGTCCTGGGCCTCCCCTAGGTCGACTCAAATGAGTACCTGGTGCGATGTGTAGTAAACATCGCCACTGGGGAGGCAAAGGCGGTCGGGCGTGGTGCTGGCCACCCACCCCCTCGTGTGTCGTGCCGGCCTTCATAGGGGCTCGCTAACAGTCCGTTAAGGCTATACAGGGGATCTTTGTCTTGTATTTATGTTGAACTTCTTTTGCACCGTACATAGCCGACCATGATAACTGGAGGTGCGGGGGAAGGACAACAAACTTAACACAAAAATCAGTTCTAAAGAAATGAGCTTTCAATCTAGATTTAACAGTGTACTGCAACTCCAGCGTTGCTGATCCACACACATAACCACGTCACAACTCGCACTGCTCTTGCGGGATTTCCGGACATCGCCGGAACATCACAGAAGCGTGGAACAAACTCCACATATGAACAGTTCACCTCCACTGCCAGCCCCGTGGCGGGGGTCAAGAATTCCATGGTTTATGGCAGGGGTCGGCCTCTCCATAAAATGACCACCCCATATTTCCTACAAACTAGGAGTTATTTTATCTACCCAGGCAGGATAGGTAGGCCTGAGTCAACCCCCTCAACAGAGATTTGAATTCACTCCCTTGCAACTTTAAAGCTCTCCAACGGCAATGCCGCCCAACCAGATTCCACACACAACCAGCGGAGAGAACCTTCTCATCGCCAAAGCAATATAAGGTGAACGTGGCCACGCACTTAAAGTCATCACTTTAAATGCCAGAGAGGATACGTTTGGTCTCGACTGCAATTGCAGGCGTCGACGGGCTTTGGACACCGCACATGGACATCGAGACATACGCATGCTTTCACTGCCCTCCTGCATGGGCCTTTCACCTGCAGTGGGATAAACCTTCTGAAGGCAAAAACCTGTCTATCCTATTCAACCTATAGGCACGGTTCTTAAACTGGCAACCCCCGGGGGTCAGTCGGAGTGGTTCACACCAAGATGTGGCCCCACTGAGACGCAAGGAGATACAGGTTAGTGACATAAGACATGAGACATTTGCAGACGAGAGATTGAGATGAATACGACAAAAGTGAGCTGACACCCGGAGGCATTATTAGCTCTCACGTGTACACAGGTTACGATAACGTGATGCCCCACGCGACAGCCATCACGTGACGTGCGGCATCACGCAGCCCTCCGGCGCACGCCGGTTTTGCAATGCCCACCACCCTCCCCCCCCGCCACCCCGTGCAGCAGAGGCGATGACCGCGTGGCAACGCCGTGTAAGTTCCTTCGCGAGCGAGCGTCGCGAAAGAACTCGCGGAGGCTGCTGACCAGCCAAAGGGAGCGGCCGTGCGGCACGATGACGGTGGCGACGACGTGCAGAGACGTCACGTCCAGCCCCAGCCAGCCGTCGGCCTCCACCGCCCCGCGGCAGCCCCGGCCGTTGACGCACGCAGAAGCGTTGAGCTGCCCTGCACGCACGGAGCATGCACGGGGCACGCCGCACCACCACTGTCAGCAAGGCCAGTGTCTCATCAGCATCACGCTCTCTCGTTGCCGACCCATCGTGTGTCTTTGTCCCTCTGCTGGAGCCGCTATCGTAGTTGTCAGAACAGCCAACTCGCTCATAGTCAACCTGACCTCCTCCTTGTCTATCCGATGAAGCTACTGTCATGGTCGTCAGAACGGCCACTCGCTCATCGTAGATCTATCTCCGCCCTGTCTCTCCCAAAACCTAAAATCGTGGTCCCTTTCAAATTACGGCGTTACTCGTGCCAGCACACGCTCATCTTACCATGGGACTCACCGGCCAATATTTGGCAATGCCCACTGGGCTCTGCAGCTCTTTTTCAGAAGCGACCTGGCCACAAACGAAGTGGCTGACCACGTGGAAATTTGGAGCGGCCAAATGCTCAGAAAGGCGTGACGTCGATTCCAAACGTGGAGGGAAAAACCGGAGGGCCCGGAGAAAAAGCCACACGACCACGGGGAGAGAGAGAGAGAGAGAACACGCAAACTCCAAATATACAACAGGCATCACGGTCGGGATGGAACCCACAACCTCCTGCACACCAGGCGAGGTAATTAACATCTCGCCCTTAAAGAAGCGCGTTGCATGTGGTGGGGGTGGAGGGGGAGAGGAGGGGGGGGGGGGGGAACAGACCGTGCCACGAGAGGCCCGCGTCCAGGTGAATGTCGGTGCGGAAGGACGGGTGCAGGGGCTGGTGGAAGTGCACCACGAACACGTAGCGCCCCACAGCCGGCACGACCAGACGCACGCTCGCTCGCACCTGCAGATAAAGGCAAAGATCCCCCGTGTAGCCTTAGCAGACTTTAGGGGCAGGTGGGTGTTAGCGGGCAGCTATGAAGGACGGGTGGGTGGCCAGCACCACGCCCTGCCGCCTCTGTTTCCCAAGTGGCGATGTTTACACTTCCACATCGGGTACGCATTTGAGGCTGAGTCGACCTAGGGGGAGGCCCAGGACCGGCTCAGGTAATCGTCACCGACGTTGGCCGTGAGCGGGAATCGAACCCGGGCGGCCAGGTTCGTAGCGCAGCGCAGCGCTAACTGCTACACCGCCCGCCTGCAGGCAGTCCTTAAAGATGTTTTAGTCTCGTGAACGATGCTTCTGAATCGCGGGTCCACGTCCGTGCGCGTGCAAAATAATGGAGCCGGTGGATTTTCGTTTCCGTGGGCTGTCCCTTTTCTTGCGCGTGTCAACATTCGGGAGCTAAGTGGCAATGTCGAGTTCTGCTGCTGCTGCTGCTGCTGCCGGCCACGAGAGGGCTTCAGCAGAGAGAGAGAGTTTGCGTCGTTGTGCTTTTCCTCCTCGTCCGCGGGAAGGAGCGCACGCCACCGCGGGTTTGCCGTGTGCCGCGTCCGCCTCTCCCCGCTGGCGCCCTCCGCGCGCCGCGCTCACCTCCTCGCCGTGCAGGTGGACGAGCGGCGGCGCTCCCTGGGCGCCGCCGGGCGGCCTCCGCTGCCCGGCGCCGGTGGGGGCCGGGCGGCCCCCCTCGGAGCGCACCGAGCCCGCCGGCTGAGAGAACGTGGAGTCGACGCAGCGAGCGCTGAGACGCACGCAAAAGACAAAGATCATCCCCACCACCGTGTAGCCTTAGCAGACTGTTGGGGCAAGTGCTGTTAAGCGAGTAGCGGCACCTATGAAGGCCGGCACGGCACACGAGGGGGGGGGGGGGGAGATGGCCAGCAATACGCCCGGCCGCCTTTGTTTCCCCAGTGGCGATGTTTACACATTGCACCAGGTACTCATTTTTGAGGCCGAGTCGACCTAGGGGAGGCCCAGGACCGGTTCAGATAATCGTCACCGGTGTTAGCCGTGAGAGGGAATCGAACTCGAGTCGCCAGATTCGTAGCGAAGTGCGCTAACCGCTACACTCCAGCTATCCACACGTAGGCACTCACGCACTCAGCACCTGATTGTGGAGAATGAGAGCGGCAGTGCGATGGTGAGGATGCTGAGCGAGTACCTGTGGCTGGGATGAATGAGATGAATGAGTTGTAGAGAATGAGAGCAATGGTGCGATGGTGGGGATGCTGAGCGTGTACCTGTGGCTGGGATGAATGAAATGAATGAGTTGTAGAGAGTGAGAGCGGCGGTGCGATGGTGAGGATGCTGGGCGTGTACCTGTGGCTGGGATGAATGAGATGAATGAGTTGTAGAGAATGAGAGCGGCGGTGCGATGGTGAGGATGCTGAGCGTGTACCTGTGGCTGGGATGAATGAGATGAATGAGTTGTAGAGAATGAGAGCGGCGATGCGATGGTGAGGATGCTGAGCGTGTACCTGTGGCTGGGATGAATGAGATGAATGAGTTGTAGAGAATGGGAGCGGCGCAGCGATGGTGAGGATGCTGAGCGTGTACCTGTGGCTGGGATGAATGAAATGAATGAGTTGTAGAGAGTGAGAGCGGCGGTGCGATGGTGAGGATGCTGAGCGTGTACCTGTGGCTGGGATGAATGAAATGAATGAGTTGTAGAGAATGAGAGCGGCGGTGCGATGGCGAGGATGCTGAGCGTGTACCTGTGGCTGGGATGAATGAGATGAATGAGTTGTAGAGAATGAGAGCGGCGGTGCGATGGTGAGGATGCTGAGCGTGTACCTGTGGCTGGGATGAATGAGATGAATGAGTTGTAGAGAATGAGAGCGGCGGTGCGATGGTGAGGATGCTGAGCGTGTACCTGTGGCTGGGATGAATGAAATGAATGAGTTGTAGAGAATGAGAGCGGCGGTGCCATGGTGAGGATGCTGAGCGTGTACCTGTGGCTGGGATGAATGAGATGAATGAGTTGTAGAGAATGAGAGCGGCGGTGCGATGGTGAGGATGCTGAGCGTGTATCTGTGGCTGGGATGAATGAGATGAATGAGTTGTAGAGAATGAGAGTGGCGGTGCGATGGTGATGATGCTGATCTTGTACCTGTGGCTGGGATGAATGAGATGAATGAGTTGTAGAGAATGAGAGCGGCGGTGCGATGGTGAGGATGCTGAGCGTGTACCTGTGGCTGGGATGAATGAGATGAATGAGTTGTAGAGAATGAGAGCGGCGGTATGATGGTGAGGATGCGAGTGTGTACCTGTGGCTGGGATGAATGAAATTAATGAGTTGTAGAGAATGAGAGCGGCAGTGCGATGGTGAGGATGCTGATCTTGTACCTGTGGCTGGGATGAATGAGATGAATGAGTTGTAGAGAATAAGAGCGGCAGTGCGATGGTGAGGATGCTGAGCGTGTACCTGTGGCTGGGATGAATGAAATGAATGAGTTGTAGAGAATGAGAGCGGCGGTGCGATGGCGAGGATGCTGAGCGTGTACCTGTGGCTGGGATGAATGAGATGAATGAGTTGTAGAGAATGAGAGCGGCGGTGCGATGGTGAGGATGCTGAGCGTGTACCTGTAGCTGGGATGAATGAGATGAATGAGTTGTAGAGAATGAGAGCGGCGGTGCGATGGTGAGGATGCTGAGCGTGTACCTGTGGCTGGGATGAATGAAATGAATGAGTTGTAGAGAATGAGAGCGGCGGTGCCATGGTGAGGATGCTGAGCGTGTACCTGTGGCTGGGATGAATGAGATGAATGAGTTGTAGAGAATGAGAGCGGCGGTGCGATGGTGAGGATGCGAGCGTGTACCTGTGGCTGGGATGAGTACCGTGCGTGCTCACACAGTGCACGAGCGGCTCCACCAGCTCCATGCTGAAGTCCTTGTACGGGACAGCATGAATCTTGTGCTGCAGCAAGGAGAAAAATAAACAACAACGCATCAACCATCTGTAAACGAGACACAACCCAGAACAAGCAAGTGTTGTGTTATTCAGTAGTGGACCGAGGCCGTGTATCAGGAGCTGCCCGACACGAAATTTGAACCTCAGTGGCGAGTAAAATGCTTTTACAGCGCCAAAAAAAATGTAGCTTCCACGTGTGCCAACATGGCGGCCTCCAGTGACGTCACTGGGCCACGCCTCCACGCTCCGCGTGGCGCTCTCTAAGGCAGTGGTTCTTAACCTGTGGGTACGAGACATTGCCCAAAAGTTTTTTCAAAAAGTCAATTATCGAAACCCAAATTAAGCATGGGGCACGTGAGTACAACTACTTTGTTTCATCAAACCTACGTATTTATTAAGATGATAAAAAAATGATTGAGAACCAATGGGGTGCAAGGCCGCAGTAAAGGTGAAGAGTCCACTGCTCTAGAGCAGCCGCTCCCAAACGGTGGTTGTCCGCGAGGCGACTACAGGGGGGTCCGTGGATAAGAATAAAAACTAATTGACATCCTCACCAAGGAAATGAACAATGTCGAACGGCTAATAGTGGCGCGTGGTGGTCTGATACATGTTCTGAAAAGGGGTCCTCACACTCGAAAAGGTTGTGGGAAGTGCTGCTCAGAAGCTCCCTCCTAGCGGAGGCCTTTCCCACACCAGCAGTGGGATCAGTAGACTAGAGCAGGTCAGTAGACTAGAGCAGGTCAGTAGACTAGAGCAGGTCAGACACGAAGAGACGGGGAAGAAGTCAAGAGGACGTCCACTCGAGATGTCCAGGGGTAAGTGGCGCTAGAGGAGGAAGAAGAAGAAGAAGAGAGAACAACCGAACGGGAAGAAAGGCGACGACCGTGGAAGCGCCGGAGCGGAGACTGACGCCAAGCGAGAGAGGGTGGCTCGGGGTGGGGAGATCGGAAGGATCGCGGCGGAGTGGACGTGGAGGTCGGGCCCAGGATGGGAACGAGTAGGGACTCCCACACCGGGTGGGAAGAAGACGAGGGGGAGCGGGAAGAGGAGGAGGAGGAGGATGATGCGTGCAATGGGAGGGCGAGCGCGAGGCATCGCGGCCGCGAGGGGCGAGACTGACGAGGAGGAGGCGGCGGAGGCCCTGGCCGCTGACGACGACGTCGGCGTGGCTGGCGAGCGAGAAGACGGCGACGCGGCCACGAGCGTCCACCGCCACGGCCCGGCACAGGAAGCTGCTCCGGCACGAACGCACACACAACAACCACGCAGCAGCGGCGGCGGCGATGTCACCGCGGCGCTTGCGCCAGGCCCGGCGCACTTTTCAGGGCACGCGAAGCGTCGACGGCTCGCTGGCAGGAGGTCGCGCGACACAGACCCAGCAGGTGCCACGGGTCGGCTGACTGAGACGACCGCCGGTAGAGGCACCACCACCTGTGCCCTCTACTGTGCCAACTTGCTGTGCTTTAGCCACCCGGCGCTCCGCTCGTTGTTGTGAGCGTCGATCCTCTGCCCTGCATTGTTGCTGGAGGGCGGACTGCCTCCAACTGCACAGTAGTAACCTTAAATTTTGATTTAAAGCTTTCGTGACTGCAGTAACTCATATTCTTAGCTCTTTCGGTAAAGTCACGTTGAAGGGAAACAATTAAATAATAAAATATATATAAAACAATAAAAATTCTCACGACATTTCGACCATAACACAAACAGTCATCACCTGATGATTGTTTCCCTTCAACGTGACTTTACCGAAAGAGCTAAGAAGCATTAACCTTAACGAGCCTCCTCCATAGAGGCCGATCTTGACACCAGTCATTGAGCAAGTCCACTCCGCTCCACACCCTCCAATACAACATCAGTCCATCCCTTCTCTAGCCAATGCCACGCCAATTTAGCCCCCTCTATCTGGCCAAACGGAGGTTACCTGGACGTGCAGTGGCTGCGCATGCGGGCTACATGACGCAGCTTCGTATAATAATCCAGTCTGGTTAAACCCATGATGAATCACGGGCAGGGAAGCATGCATGTTTTAAACTGGCGCAGATCTACCTTTAAAGAGGTCCAAATATTACGCAAGCGGAGAAAATATCGAGCCTAACTGTGACCGAGATGACTTGGAGCTCTGTGAGGAGCGAAAGGCCAGGTTAGTTTTGTGCCGAGCAGTACGTAGCCAACGAAACGATAATGCTGCTCGAATGATTCGAAGTGAAACCTCTGCTGCCAAAATGGAGCAGGTCATGAGCACACTTAGCAAGCAGCTACGAAGGCCAACACTGCACACGAGGGTGGTGGGGCTAGCACCATGTCCTCCGCTGTCTTTGGCTACCCCCACATTCGTGATGTTTGCACGCCACATCAGGTCCTTGTTAAAGGCTGAGTTGACCTAGGGAAGGCCCAGGACCGGTTCAGATATTCCAAAGAGGGTTGCCGGCTGTCCGTGTCTGCCCTGGCCTGGGTTTGAGCCACGCGGGGGCCAAACATTCGAATCTATTTGTATTTGACCAGGTAAGGCCCACTGAGCTATCTGGTCTACAGTGAGAGCTCAACGAAGTGACGGCTTACCATCATGCGTTGATGTACAGCAGCCAAATACTCTAAACGCGTGATGTTGATTCTAAATGTGGCAGGGAAAAACTAGAGGACCCGGAGAAAAATCCACGCGACCACAGGGAGAGATAAAATGCAAACACCAAATACACAGAGGTTGTTTTTGGATTCGATCGCATAAATATATAAATGCGTCGTTAAACCCGCCACCACCCGACACAGTCAATTAGTAAGGGGTTTGTCACGTAAACAGAAGATGCCAATTCGTTACTAGTACAGCACACCGGTGTGTTGGAGAGTAAACCCACAACATCGACAATTCGAGTATGACATTTTGCCAGTAAATACAACTAGCATCATCATGTGACAGCCAGATTTGTGGAGAAATCCTCCCGTTCCGTTCCTTAAATAGAGGGATAGCTGCGATGTCATCACTTGTGAGCCAATCAGGTGTGAAGGCCAGAGGAAGGGAGCGGGGGTGGGCGTCAGGGTCGGGATCGAACCCACAACCTCCTGTACACCAGGCGAGGCAGTTAACGTCTCGCTAAAGCCTGCCAACTGATCGCCCATCCCCGAGCCCCAGCCGCGCACCGCCTCGTCAGCTCAGCTGAAGCTGCGGCGGCTCGACTGGCGGGGCAGCTCGCCGCTCAAAACACCGCTGGGGCGACCAAACGGAGAATTTGCCCCGGGCCTGTAAAACATTGCCGGGTTGCGCACTTGTGCCCCGCCGCACCGGCTAGGCGGAGGAGAGGGCAGCCATCTGTGAAAAAGAGCCACATAGCTCATCGGATTTCCTCCAGTCCGAAATAAGGAATCTGATTCTGTGTTGGGGGACGTTGGGCGGAGGGCGGGCACCTGAAGTCGCAGGGCTGGATGGTGACGGTGGCCTGCGGCTCCGCACCCAGGCCGTGCCGCACCGTGACGGCCGGGGTCTGGCTCGCTTCGGCCTCGCTCGCAAACTCGAGCACGAGCGCGTGGTCGCCCGGCTCCAGCCCGTCCAGCGCCACGTGCAAGTTGTCCTGCGCACGCACAAAAAACGTAGGCAATGATCCCCCGTGTAGCCTTTAACAGGGTGTCGGGGCAAGTGCCGTTAGCGAGTAGCACCTGTGAAGGCTGGCACGGCACACGAGGAGGTAGGTGGCCAGCACCACGCCCGGCCGCCTTTGTCTCCCTAGTGCCAATGCTTTTACACATCGGACTAAGTACTCATTTGAGGCTGAGTAGACCTAGGGGAGGCCCAGGACCGGTTCAGATAAATATAATCGTCGCTGGCGTTGGTCGTGAGTGGGAATCGAACTCGGGTGACCGGGTTCGTAGCGCAGCGAGCCAACTGCTATACTGCTGCTCCCCAGAACGCACGCGCACACACATGCACACACACATGCACACGCACACGCACACAGACACACCTATGCTCCCCAACAGTCTCTGCTAAGGCTACACGGGGGATCTTTGTCTTCATGTGTGTAGTGGGGGGGGGGGGGGGGGTGGGGGGGCACGCAGAGGAGACGGGAAGGTGGAAGGGAGGGAAGTCGCTCACGTGCTGGGCGCCGAGTTCCACCACGGCAGCCGGGGAGAGGTGGGGTGGAGTGTGCCCCTGCACGGCGACACGCTGGCCCGAGCGGTCCACGTGGAATCCCAGCGCCGCGGCCGCGCTCGCGAAGCCGTCGAGCGGCAGGAAGGAGTAGAGCAGGCAGCTGCGACACCCGGGGCGGGGGAGTCAGTGAGTGTCCTGTCTCAGTCTGTAGTGAGTCAGTGAGTGTCCTGTCCCAGCCTGTAGTGAGTCAGTGAGTGTCCTGTCCCAGTCTGCAGTGAGTCAGTGAGTGTCCTGTCACAGTCTGTAGTGAGTCAGTGAGTGTCCTGTCTCAGTCTGTAGTGAGTCATTGAGTGTCCTGTCTCAGTCTGCAGTGAGTCAGTGAGTGTCCTGTCTCAGTCTGTAGTGAGTCAGTGAGGGTCCTGTCCCAGTCTGTAGTGAGTCAGTGAGTGTCCTGTCTCAGTCTGTAGTGAGTCAGTGAGTGTCCTGTCTCAGTCTATAGTGAGTCAGTGAGTGTCCTGTCCCAGCCTGTAGTGAGTCAGTGAGTGTCCTGTCCCAGCCTGTAGTGAGTCAGTGAGTGTCCTGTCTCAGTCTGTAGTGAGTCAGTGAGTGTCCTGTCTCAGTCTATAGTGAGTCAGTGAGTGTCCTGTCCCAGTCTGCAGTGAGTCAGTGAGTGTCCTGTCTCAGTCTGTAGTGAGTCAGTGGGTGTCCTGTCTCAGTCTGTAGTGAGTCATTGAGTGTCCTGTCCCAGTCTGTAGTGAGTCATTGAGTGTCCTGTCTCAGTCTGCAGTGAGTCAGTGAGTGTCCTGTCTCAGTCTGTAGTGAGTCAGTGGGTGTCCTGTCTCAGTCTGTAGTGAGTCAGTGAGTGTCCCGTCTCAGTCTGTAGTGAGTCAGTGGGTGTCCTGTCTCAGTCTCTAGTGAGTCAGTGAGTGTCCTGTCTCAGTCTCTAGTGAGTCAGTGAGTGTCCTGTCACAGTCTGTAGTGAGTCAGTGAGTGTCCTGTCTCAGTCTGTAGTGAGTCAGTGAGTGTCCTGTCTCAGTCTGTAGTGAGTCAGTGAGTGTCCTGTCCCAGTCTGTAGTGAGTCAGTGAGTGCCCTGTCTCAGTCTGTAGTGAGTCAGTGGGTGTCCTGTCTCAGTCTCTAGTGAGTCAGTGAGTGTCCTGTCCCAGTCTGTAGTGAGTCAGTGGGTGTCCTGTCTCAGTCTGTAGTGAGTCAGTGAGTGTCCTGTCTCAGTCTGTAGTGAGTCAGTGGGTGTCCTGTCTCAGTCTGTAGTGAGTCAGTGAGTGTCCTGTCTCAGTCTGTAGTGAGTCAGTGAGTGTCCTGTCTCAGTCTGTAGTGAGTCAGTGGGTGTCCTGTCTCAGTCTGTAGTGAGTCAGTGAGTGTCCTGTCTCAGTCTGTAGTGAGTCAGTGAGTGTCCTGTCTCAGTCTGTAGTGTGTCAGGGAGTGTCCTGTCTCAGTTTGTAGTGAGTCAGTGAGTGTCCTGTCCCAGCCTGTAGTGAGTCAGTGAGTGTCCTGTCCCAGTCTGCAGTGAGTCAGTGAGTGTCCTGTCTCAGTCTGTAGTGAGTCAGTGAGTGTCCTGTCACAGTCTGTAGTGAGTCAGTGAGTGTCCTGTCTCAGTCTGTAGTGAGTCAGTGAGTGTCCTGTCTCAGTCTGTAGTGAGTCAGTGGGTGTCCTGTCACAGTCTGTAGTGAGTCAGTGAGTGTCCTGTCTCAGTCTGTAGTGAGTCAGTGAGTGTCCTGTCTCAGTCTGTAGTGAGTCAGTGGGTGTCCTGTCTCAGTCTGTAGTGAGTCAGTGAGTGTCCTGTCTCAGTCTGTAGTGAGTCAGTGAGTGTCCTGTCTCAGTCTGTAGTGTGTCAGGGAGTGTCCTGTCTCAGTCTGTAGTGAGTCAGTGAGTGTCCTGTCCCAGCCTGTAGTGAGTCAGTGAGTGTCCTGTCTCAGTCTGCAGTGAGTCAGTGAGTGTCCTGTCTCAGTCTGTAGTGAGTCAGTGAGTGTCCCGTCTCAGTCTGTAGTGAGTCAGTGAGTGTCCTGTCTCAGTCTGTAGTGAGTCAGTGAGTGTCCTGTCTCAGTCTGTAGTGAGTCAGTGAGTGTCCTGTCTCAGTCTGTAGTGAGTCAGTGAGTGTCCTGTCCCAGTCTGTAGTGAGTCAGTGAGTGTCCTGTCTCAGTTTCTAGTGAGTCAGTGAGTGTCCTGTCTCAGTCTGTAGTGAGTCAGTGAGTGCCCTGTCTCAGTCTGTAGTGAGTCAGTGAGTGTCCTGTCCCAGTCTGTAGTGAGTCAGTGAGTGTCCTGTCTCAGTCTGTAGTGAGTCAGTGAGTGTCCTGTCACAGTCTGTAGTGAGTCAGTGAGTGTCCTGTCTCAGTCTGTAGTGAGTCAGTGAGTGTCCTGTCTCAGTCTGTAGTGAGTCAGTGAGTGTCCTGTCTCAGTCTGTAGTGAGTCAGTGAGTGTCCTGTCTCAGTCTGTAGTGTGTCAGGGAGTGTCCTGTCTCAGTCTGTAGTGAGTCAGAGAGTGTCCTGTCTCAGTCTGTAGTGAGTCAGTGAGTGTCCTGTCTCAGTCTGTAGTGAGTCAGTGAGTGTCCTGTCTCAGTCTGTAGTGAGTCATTGAGTGTCCTGTCTCAGTCTGCAGTGAGTCAGTGAGTGTCCTGTCTCAGTCTGTAGTGAGTCAGTGAGGGTCCTGTCTCAGTCTGTAGTGAGTCAGTGAGTGTCCTGTCTCAGTCTGTAGTGAGTCAGTGAGTGTCCTGTCTCAGTCTGTAGTGAGTCAGTGAGTGTCCTGTCTCAGTCTGTAGTGAGTCAGTGAGTGTCCTGTCTCAGTCTGTAGTGAGTCAGTGTCTCAGGCTGCTGGTTGGTGTGGCGTGGCCCTCACTTGTCATTGGCTTGGTCGAGGGTCGCGCTGTGGCGGCAGGGCTCCGTGACCTTCACCTGCAGTGCGGGAGCCTCATAGTAGCTGCTGGGCAGCAGCACCAGGTAATCCTGCCACACACACAAAAACACAAAGACAAAGATCCCCCGTGCGGCCTTAGCAAACTGTAGGGACAAGTGCTGTTAGCGAGCACTTAAGAAGGCCGCCATGGCACACGAGAGGGTGGGTGGCCAGCACCACGCCCAGCCGCCTTTGTCTCCCCAGTGGCGATGTTTATACAGAATCAGCATATTTATCCCGGAGAAATCCGATGAGCTGTAAAGCTCTTTCTCATAGATGTCCAGCAGGGGCAGGTCAGAAAATGACAACAGACGATAGAAAATCACGGCAGGAATTAGTTTAGGAAAGGTAAGCAAACCACTCAAACGAAACAATAATATGACACACTGCACCAGGCACTCATTTGAGGACGAGTCGACATAGGGGATGCCCAGGACCGGTCCAGATGTTCGTGGCCGGTGTTGGCCATGAGCGGGAATTGAACACGGGTTTGCGGGTTTCGTAGCGCAGCGTAGCGCTGACCGCGACACCACCGCTCCCCACACTGCATTGCAGCGCAGCGCACGCACACACACGTACACAGCACGTACACAGCGCGTACACAGCGCGTATACAGCGCGTACACACCGCGTACACAGCGCGTACACATCGCGTACACAGCACGTACACAGCGCGTACACAGCGCGTACACAGCGCGTACACACCGCGTACACAGTGCGTACACATCGCGTACACAGCGCTTACACAGCGCGTACACAGCACGTACACAGCGTGTACACAGCGCGTACACAGTGCGTACACAGCGCGTACACAGTGCGTACACAGCGCGTACACAGCGCGTACACAGCGCGTACACAGTGCGTACACAGCGCGTACACAGCGCATACACAGCGCGTACACAGCACGTACACAGCGCGTACACAGCGCGCACACGTACGTACACAGCGCGTACACAGCGCGTACACAGCGCGTACACAGCACGTACACAGCGCGCACACACGCACGTACACAGCGCGTACACAGCGCGTACACAGCGCGCACACGTACGTACACAGCGCGTACACAGCGCGTACACAGCACGTACACAGCACGTATACATGCAAGCACGCACATACACGCACATACACAGCACGTACACAGCGCTTACACACGCAAGCACGCACGAAAGACACGCCGCTCGCCGCGTGGCTTTAGGGATGAAGAGAGTCAACGATCGGCTCAATGAATGTCCCCGCTTATACCACCCCTTATCCCCGTGTGTTGTTACAGCCAACGCACGCCGTTTAATGCAGCTTTGCTCAATAAACTGCCTCCAGCAGCAGCAGCAGCAGCAGGAAAAAAACGCTCACAAACGACCTGCACAGAATACGGTGACTTCTCTCCGTGTCGCGGGCGCTCTCCAGCAAGGGGGCATCGGCCATGGCGGCGACGCTGCCCGCCGGACCCTCTCCCCGCCGGATGTCACGGTCCGCCGACTAAACATCGGATTCGCGATCTCGCGACGCGGGCGTCGGAGGACGTCCTCTGACGCCCGCGTCGCAAGCCGCGTGCGGGGATTTTTGACGGGGTCACTCACGACAAAGGCTACTCGCGGATCCGTTTCAAGCGTAACACAAGCGAGCGGGTGAGGCAAGTCGATCCGCGTGTAACGAAGTTAACGACCTGGAGCGGTTGAAGGTCACAGGCGGCCCCCCCCCCCGAGATCACACCACACAATCAACAACAAGCACCACCAGCACTGGCTCAGGCAGCAGCTGTGCCCAGCCGTCACGTGGACACCGCTGGGTTGGCTTGTGGGGGGAGGTGGTCGTAGTGGGGGGCGGTGGTCGTAGTGGGGGGGCGGCGGCCGTAGTGGGGGGCGGTGGTCATAGTGGGGGGTGGTGGCCGTAGTGGGGGGCGGTGGCCGTAGTGGGGGGGCGGTGGTCGTAGTGGGGGGGCGGTGGTCGTAGTGGGGCGAGGAGGCCGTAGTGGGGGGCGGTGGTCGTAGTAGGGGGTGGTGGTCGTAGTGGGGGGCGGTGGTCGTAGTGGGGGGCAGTCGTCGTAGTAGGGGGCGGTGGTCGTAGTGAGAGGAGGTGGCCGTAGTGGGGGGCGGTGGCCGTAGTGGGGGGCGGTGGCCGTAGTAGGGGGCGGTGGTCGTAGTGAGGGGAGGTGGCCGTAGTGGGGGGCGGTGGCCGTAGTGGGGGGGCGGTGGCCGTAGTGGGGGGCGGTGGTCGTAGTGAGGGGGCGGTGGTCGTAGTGGGGGGGCGGTGGCCGTAGTGGGGGGGCGGCGGCCGTAGTGGGGGGCGGTGGCCGTAGTGGGGGGCGGTGCGTCGTACCAGCAGCACGTCCTGCACCTCGATGACGATGTACCACGTGCCGGGGTTGAGCACGAAGGGGGTGGCGGGCGCCCCGTTCCCGGGCACCGTCACCAGGGCCGGCGACGCCGCGCGGCCAAACGTCACCGAGCGGCTCTGCTCCTGGCCTGCGTGCCGATCAGGGGACGCGACGCGGAGAGACGCCACGGGGGATCAGGGGAAGAGACGCGGAGATGCATCGACCCACGGTGGTCGCCCCATCCAAGCGCTATCCGGGCTCCGCTCTGCTGAACTTTCGAGATCTCACACCCGATTGGTGCAGATGAAGCCATCGGTCACATTTTCATCCCAACGTTCGATGACCGTGAAAAGATTTCAACACCCGAATCAGGCGCCCTGACTTTACTAAACTGAGCTGTGTAGCTCTTACGCAGAAGCGAGCTGGTCACAGATGATGGCTCAACGAAGCGGCTTGTCGCGTGTAAATTTATTGCAGCCAAATACTCTAAAAAGCGTGATGTTGATTCGAAATGCGGAAAGAAAATCCGGACGAGCCGGAGAAAATCCCACGTGACCACGGGAAGAACATGCAAATTCCAAATATAGAAGAGTCAGGGTCAGGATCGAACCCATGACCTTCTGTATACCAGGCGAGGTAGTTAACATCTTCGCCACCGCGGCGCCATTCACAATAGAAGTGTTCCAACTGGGTACGGAGCATGCAAATTCCAAATATAGAAGAGTCAGGGTCAGGATCGAACCCATGACCTTCTGTATACCGGGCGAGGTAGTTAACATCTTCGCCACCGCGGCACCCTTCACAACAGAAGTGTTCCAACTGGGTACGGAGCATGGCGGGTGGAACAGCGTCACAGTGATTAGCGTACACATAAAATAGGCGAGACCATTTCAATGCCTTGGAGTACACCCGGGGAGTGCTTCATGATTAGTTTATTGTTGGGTTTGGTCATCGCATGGAGGTCTAACGTCACCTTCCAGGACTGCAACCCTCCACCGCCTGAGCCCATCAAATCGTGCTGTCACGTGGGCAAATATGCAAATTGATCTGATGTATCAGCAAAACGGGAATGTTGAACGGCAAGCAAAATGTGATAGTTTTCGTTCCCGATGCTTTGCTGGACATCACATCCAGCATCACCGGTTGTTAACCAAAGCTCAGCTCTCACGTGAAAGGGCTTCCCAACTCGGCTTCTGAAGTAGGATCTGTAATGTCATCAGCACAGTGGATCCAATTTAATAATTAGGGTCGACTCCCGGTTACTTGGCTGCGACTGGCTGGTTAGATGAGGGTAACAAGGCAAGGTCAATCTATTAAGCAGCATTAACCAGGGCGGCCGCTGGACTCAAACCGCGAACATCTGTGACACGCGGCAAACGCACCCCTCCCCCTCGGGCCAGATTGCCAGGCTCCAATCGCACGTCACGGACATGGAGAGCGCCGGGGCGAGAGTTCAAATCCGGGAATGGGCTGTGAGGTTCGGAGCTGCTGAGCGGAAGGCCTCGCCCACGTGAGGCCGTGTGTGTGCGTGTGTGTGTGTGTGTGCGCGTGTGTGTGCGCGTGTGTGCGTGTGCCGGTGCTCACAGCTCCAGCAGGTGTCCGAGCTGAAGTCCTCGGTGACGGAGATCACCGCCTGTACGTCGTGCGGCACCGCGCTCTGGTAGCGGAACACCACGCGGTACAGCAGCGGCAGCTCCACCTGCACCCGCACCACCAGCTGCGTCTGCACACGGGCACACACACACAGCGCACGTGAACACACACACACACCACACGTGAACACACACACCACACGTGAACACACACACACACCACACGTGAACACACACACACCACACGTGAACACACACACACACACCACACGTGAACACACACACACACCACATGTGAACACACACGTGTGCACAACGCAAGCGCCCACGCATGCCGAAGCACAGCTTGGTTTAGAAACAGATTAAAAGATCAGTGCTGTCAGTGAGCTTCTATTAAGGCTGCCGTGGACACGCTCCCCCAGTGCTGATACTGACAGACCACACCAGGTACCAAGTTAAGGCTGAGTCGACCTTGGTGAGGCCCATGACCAGCTTTGCTATCACTCGCCACTGATGTTAGCCACGGCCAAGCATCAAACTCGTGTAGCCGGGTTCATAGTGCAAGACACGAACTAATGTGCCACTAACAGAGGGAGGAGAGGGAGGAGAGGGAGGAGAGGGAGAGAGGAGAGGGAGGAGAGGGAGGGGAGAGAAGGAGGAGAGGGAGGGGAGGGAGGAGAGGGAGGAGAGGGACGGAGGGAGGAGAGGGAGGGGAGGGGAGGGAGGAGATAGAGGAGAGGGAGGGAGGGAGGGAGGAGAGGGAGGGGAGGGAGGAGAGGGAGGAGAGGGAGGGAGGGAGGAGAGGGAGGGGAGGGAGGAGAGGGAGGGAGGGAGGAGAGGGAGGGGAGGGAGGAGATAGAGGAGAGGGAGGGAGGAGAGGGAGGGGAGGAAGGAGAGGGAGGAGAGGGAGGGAGGGAGGAGAGGGAGGGAGGGAGGAGAGGGAGGAGAGGGAGGGAGGAGAGGGAGGGGAGGGAGGGGAGGGAGGGAGGAGAGGGAGGGGAGGGGAGGGAGGAGATGGAGGAGAGGGAAGGAGGAGAGGGAGGGGAGGGAGGGGAGGGAGGAGAGGGAGGAGATTGAGGGAGGGAGGAGAGGGAGGGGAGGGAGGAGAGGGAGGGAGGAGAGGGAGGGGAGGGGAGGGAGGAGATAGAGGAGAGGGAAGGAGGAGAGGGAGGGGAGGGAGGGGAGGGAGGAGAGGGAGGAGATGGAGGGGAGGGAGGGAGGGAGGAGAGGGAGGGAAGGAGGAGAGGGAGGGGAGGGAGGGAGGAGAGGGAGGGAAGGAGGAGAGGGAGGGGAGGGAGGAGAGGGAGGGGAGGGAGGAGAGGGAGGAGAGGGAGGGGAGGGAGGAGAGGGAGGGAGGAGAGGGAGGGGAGGGGAGGGAGGAGATAGAGGAGAGGGAAGGAGGAGAGGGAGGAGAGGGAGGAGATGGAGGCCCCCACCTGCAGGCAGGACATCTGCGCGTAGCCGCGCCAGCTGAAGTCGCTGAACTCGTTCGGGTCGAAGCCGAAGCGCACGGGGCGCCCCTCCAGCGTGAGCCCCTCCTCCACCTCCACCCGCAGCGCGTGCATCCCTGGCAAGAAGTAGTGCTGCTCCGGCCTGCACACACACACACACGAGATAAAGATCACCCCTAAAGCCTTGGTAGACTGTTGGGGCAAGTGCCGTTAGCGGGTAGCGCCTACGAAGCCCGGCACGGCACGCGAGGGGGCGGGTGGAGTCTCATTGACCTGCGTTGAAACTGGGATCTCGCGCCTAGAGAGTTGATGGGGCCCAGCATGACCACTGATGATTTTTGGGTTCATCGCACTTAAATTTCGATTTAAAGCTTTCGTGACTGCAAGGATTCATCTTCTTTGGTTCTTTCGGTAAAGTCACGTAGAATGAGAATAAAATAATAAATTGATCAAATAAAATAACACGATAAAATTCTCACGACGTTTCGGCCACAACACAAGCGGCCTTCATCAGGTGAAGTCGACGAGACTGTCTGGAGGACAGCGCTCCAGCGCTCCAGCGCTGTCTTACCAGACAGTCTCGTCCATTCACCTGATGAAGGCCGCTTGTGTTGTGGCCGAAACGTCGTGAGAATTTTATCGTGTTATTTTATTTCGTCGCACTTCTTTGGGGTGGGGGGGGGGGGGAGACGGCACGTGAAGCCGTGCACCGGCTCCGGCAGGAACTTGTACTAGTTCACTCGAATATTGTGTTTAGTTTGTTGTCCTTCCCCAACACCTCCGATCAGCACGGTCGGGCCACGTACGGTGTCCAAAAGAAGTTCAACGCACGCACGCGCATCCTGCGATGTGATCATTCGTCCAGAACGTGCGCAACGTGAGCCGATCCTATCGCTCCGTCTCTTGCGGCGGCACCAAGCTCAACGTACGAACTCTTGCGTACGGCAGCAACACGTTCGGGAGCTAAACGCTGACGTTGAGACCTGCTCGCCATGTGGGGGGGGCTTCGGAAGAGAGTTGGTCGGAGTTTTGCTGTCGCTCTGTTGAAGGAGCGCAGAACACCGTGGGCCTTACGCAACATTATACTGAAATTCAATCGTCATTTCTCAACCACAATTCTTATTTTTGGATATAGGGGGAACGAGGGTACCAAGGATATAGAGGGGGTTGACGAACTTTATCGTGAACAACGCCAAACTGGCCATCTACAGGGCCGCCAGGAAATGCGCAATTGAAGGAAGCGGCTTCCCCAGCCACTGCCGCATCTTCAAGGCCCCGCCTGGTTTCTAACAGAATTTGGCTGGAGTTTCGGTACGCTCGGTTGACGGGGGGGGGGGGGGGCGGGTGTCGCGTCTTTCTCGACGCGTCGGGCTACCGAGGGCGCTTTGTGTCATGTGACGAAAGCAGGGGATCTGGTGGTGATGGGTGGCCACACTATCGCACGACCGCAAGGTATATTGTTGTGGCCTTGGTTGATGGGTTGGAACTTGCACTGTGCATCTGGAACATGCGTCATCTTCACAAGGTGGAGTGGCGCCGCGCGGCTCCCTACCGGTCGCAGCGGCGCCCTCCCATGTGGGGGCGGCAGCTGCAGGCGCCTGTGCGGCTGTCGCAGCCGCGGCCCAGAGACCCCCCCACGTCGCAGAGGCAGCCTGCACTCGCCACGCACGGCACGCGCAGCACATCACACACACACGCAGCACATCGCACACGCGCGCAGCACATCACACACACGCAGCACATCACACACACACGCAGCACATCACACACGCGCGCAGCACATCACATACACACGCAGCACATCACACACACACACGCAGCACATCACACACACGCGCAGCACATCACACACACACGCAGCACATCACACACACACGCAGCACATCACACACGCGCGCAGCACATCGCACACGCGCGCAGCACATCACACACACACGCAGCACATCACACACACACGCAGCACATCACACACACACGCAGCACATCACACACACGCAGCACATCGCACACACACGCAGCACATCACACACACGCAGCACATCACACACACACGCAGCACATCACACACACACGCAGCACATCACACACATGCGCAGCACATCACACACACACGCAGCACATCACACACACACGCAGCACATCACACACACACGCAGCACATCACACACACGCGCAGCACATCACACACACACGCAGCACATCACACACACGCGCAGCACATCACACACACACGCAGCACATCACACACACGCGCGCACTGACGGCACGCACAGCGCACAGCATAGCGCACGTGCGCAGCACGGCACAGCACGGCGCCACATTTCAATTTGCCAGCAGCGAATCTGAGCGGCAGGTCGCTGATAACCATCTCCACTTGGTGTTCACGAGCGTGCGGTGGAAACTTTACAATCCCATGGGTTGGGGCCTCAGTCTCCGGCCCCCGCCATAGGAGGCTGCGACGGGGCGCCACGAGGTTGGTGCTCCGTTCGGCGGTGTGCACCGAACAGGCGGAAGGGGGGAGCAATGGAGACGGGCAGGTTTGTGCCACGGCGCGAGGCACCTAGGGGGAGCTTTGGTGAACGGTGGTGCCCGGCGGCGCTGTGGCGGAGGGAAGGGAGCAGGCGGGAGATGGATCGGACGCTGGCTGAGAGCACACCCTTTTGGGAGCTGGGCTAGCTGTGTTTGTATCTCGTATCCGCTCGTATTGGATATTGCCCACGACCAGTGCGTTGCTTGTATCCGCACTGTGCTTTATATATATGTGTACACGAGGCGTGCTTATATGTCCAGCTTACGCTGTAATGGGGGGGGGGGGGGCGGTGTAGTGGAATCAACAGCATTAGCTACAGCAGGAACCACTTCAGCCCGACATCAAGAAGAAAAATCAACACACCCCTCAATAACACCGTTGTGCGTCCTTAGAATAAAAATGCAGAACCGGTGGACGACCCGTGCAGCGGCCATTCTTCCCAGCACACGAACGAAAAGGAACGGACGTCGTGAATTAAATATATTATTTTCTATCGTAAGGCCACACAGTGTTGTTGACCAATGCGTCCGGTCGATTTGTTTCCACTGCGCCCGCGCACCGCCGCCAGCGCGGCAGCGTCCGCCGGGCGGCATTTGCGAAGACTTCCGCTGGAAGTCCGCTTTTGCTTTTAACGGGACAAGCCGGCGAGGCGCGAGGTGGGGGGGCGCGGCGCGCGAGAGCGGGACCCTCATCCCACCTCGGCAGCCAAAGTAGTTGTCGGCTTCGAGCGAGAAGTATCCGTCCTCGCAGGCCGTGCAGGACCGCGTGCCCACGTTGGGCTTGCAGTAGCACTGCCCCGCCAGCTGCGTGCGAAGAACAAAACGGACGCGGCGCGTGGCGGGCCAGGCGGAGCACGGGGGGGGGTGGGGGGCGGGGGGCGGGAGTGGGGGGGGGGGAGAAACGACATCGTCAGCCGCATCAATCGATCCAATGTTCATCTGTGACGCGGAAAGTCCCGCTTTAAGCCAAGCCATCCAGCTAGGTTTGCACGGGAGATCCGTGGTGCAATCGGCACAGAACAAAGAACGACAACAATAACGACACATGAACATCACAGCGGTAGGCGCAGGAGAGCAGGCCACAGCGGAACAGCAAGTGTCACTGGCAGATAGAAAATGAATGCAAAAGGCTCTGTCACACGGTGCTAACAATAAAATCGTCATCAAGTGAGTAAATACCTGCTCACACTCAGCTACGCCACTCAGAGTGCCCTGTCCGTCACAGTGGCAGCCTGCAGTCAACGCACACGAGAGAGACCCTTCACAGATGCCTGTAGCGTCGGCATCGGAAGCTCATGCAGACAGCAAGCAGAACCACGCGTTGGGGGAACAATGCAGAAGTGAAATCGCGTGTTTTTCTCGATAGCCTCCTTGGGGTTTATCCCACCACAACCTTTAACACTGCACTCTCGCTCACCGCTGGGTGGATGAGTGGGTCACTCTGTGCCTATTTCCTCTATTACTGCACAGGGTTCGCATCAGGTACGGGGGCCCAATATTTTAAGTTGGTTTTTTTTTGCGTGCCTGTGTGTGCGCGCAGTCACGAGTGACCGATTTGAGGAGTCGTCGTCGTCGCACTGCGATTGAGAACCGCGGTTAAACCATTGGGGCAACCCTGGTGCTGACTACACTGAAGACACTTTAGTTCAAATCTCTGTACAAATCTCAACCCAAACGTGCGGGCGGTGCCACTGCACCAGGGTCCGCAAGTCGGAGGGCCACGGGCTACGAGGGAGCTGAGGGTGGGTGGGTGGGTGGTTCGGGTTAAGCCAACGGGGCCCCCCGTTTCATTCCTTGCACCAGGGCGCAAGCCAAACCGCCGCTGGGCCACGCTCACCTTCACAGCCAGAGGGATTGTAGGAGTTGATATTCCAGTAGAGGGGCTTGCACACGTCACACTCGGGCCCCGTCACGTGCTCCCGGCACTGGCAGGAGCCCTGGAAGGAAGCAAACCCGCACACACCGGGTCTCGGGCCTACAACATCACAGGCAGCACTCCCTCGCCAATCGACTGTAGGCATGGGAGTCATGAGCAGCCCACCGTTAATGCACTGCCGGGTGAAGGCCCTCCCTCGTGCTGTGGCAAGTCAATGGAGATGTTCGACGAGGTCCGTCCCAGGGTCAGTTGCTAAAATTATTCCGAGAAGCAATTTAAATATTTATCCTCGTCGGACTCCTTTTCAGGAGGGTCCCGCGGCGTTGGGTTTTTATTTTGAGATGTTTTCAGACAATTAATGGTGGGAGGGAACCGGAGCACCCGGGGAAAACCCGTGCACGCCAAGGGGGCAACGCTCTATCCCCGTGCAGATGGAAACAGATGGCGATGCGTCCACTTGCGGTACCATCCTTCTCCTGACGAGCCAGGATATGACTCCTCAACGCCCACGGCAAGGGAGCTTTACAACATTTGTGTGATCCACCAACCTTCACTGCCCCCCCCCACCCCCCAATGCTGGATTACACGCCACGTGTATAGCCACCACCGCCCAGCACATCGCTCGACGCCTATGTTAGCCGTGGCCAGGAATTGAACTCAGTTGGTCGAATTCATAGTGCAGTGCTCTAACAACTACACCACTGCTCACCCCAGGCGTAGATTAGTGGCTTGTACCATGGAAGACTTATATGATTACATCATGTAAGTCACTCAATAGGACAGTTTCTGGATGTTAATGCTAAATTCAAAATAATTTTGCGTAAGGTTCTAAGTCTGACGGGGCGGCATTGCGGTTCCAGAGGACTTTATTCACCACTGGAACTTGACTGCAAGCTCAATGCACGACCCCTCAACCCCGGTGGAGTTAAAGACTTTCTCTCTCCACAGACACGTTAAATTACTCACCACTGACCCAGGGCTCCCAAAGGACATGAGGCCAACGTGCTTGTTAGCGCATGGCCACAACGTGACTTTTTTGACTCTATGCAGTTATCCGAACCAAGTGAGTGACATCCGAGTCAGAACACTGAGTATATGCTGTGTATTTAACTCGCAAGAATACCGATTGTAATGGAGCTATGGTTACCACATGGTGCTCTAAACCCTGACCACCTCAATTCAACTTCTGACCACAGTTAACATCAGAGGACGGTGAAATCTACGCCACCACTTCCCATGCAAATGCAAAGATAAAGATCCCCCGTATAACCCATAACATACCTTTGGGGCAAGTGCTGTTAGTGAGCACCTTTGAAGGCAGGCAAGGCACACGAGGGGGTGGGTGTCCAGCTCCATGCCTGGTTGCCTTTGTCTCCCCTACTACACACTGTACCAGCTACTCAATTGAGGCTGAGTCGACCTAGGGAAGGCCCAGGACTAGTTTCAGATAATCGTCACCGGTATTGGCCGTGAACGGGAATCGAACTCGGGTCGCCGGTTTCGCAGCTACACTACAGCTCCCCACTCAAAAAGACAAAGATCCCCCGTGTAGCCTTAACAGACTGTAGGGGCAAGTGCTGTTAGCGAGCACCTATAAAGGCACACGAGGGGGTGGGTGGCCAACACCACGCCCGGCCGCCTTTGTCTCCCCGGTGGCGATGTTTACACATCTCACCAGGTACTCATTTTTGAGGCTGAGTCGACCTAGGGGAGGCCCAGGACCGCTTCAGATAATCGTCACCGGTGTTGGCCGTGAGCGGGAATCGAACCCGGGTCACGGGGTTCGCAGCGCGTTAACCGCTACACCACCGCTCCCCGCACACACACACAGACACACACACACACAGACACACACACACAGACACACACACACAGACACACACACACAACCCCGTACACACGCAAAGCACGCCCGACATGCAAGCTCACCTCGGAGGGCACGGTGTTGCTGACGAGTGAACCGGATGGAACGCACGACGACACTGCAACACACACACAGACACACGTGTGACAAGGTTCACGAAAACTTAATCGGCATGTTCTGTTCCGCTGTCGCCCGTTCCTCCGTACGGATCTGTCCGACGCTTTTGCGCTGTGCCGATGCACCACGGATGTCCCTTGCAAACCAGGTGGGCAACTGGTCAAAACGGGACTGTCCGTGCAACGGATTAACACTGACCGATCGAGTTGATGGATATTAATCCGGCGGATAGGTTAAGTTCGCACTCAGCCGAACTGTCCAACGCACGGAGGAGCAACGTGCATCCCGCTGAACCGGGATGCACAAACCAGGTTGTTACAGGCTGCTGCAGCGAGACCTGATGGGCAGCAGAGGGCAATGTTGTACTTTGCTGTGGCCCCGCGTCTAAGCTCTTCCTGCCTTCACACACCCGCGCGAAGACCCACGTGCCTTGGGGAAAGCTGTCGTCCAGCAGTGGATTGACAACAAGGTCTGCACTCGTGGTGCGCAGCAACGGCAGAATTTGTTGATGTTTTGTGACAAGAGCTGTCGTGATTGCCTGGGTCAATCCAATGGCAGTCAGTCGTCCTCCGTAGGGCTCTTCTATCGCTCCTGTGATGGTTACTGTTGCCATGAACTGTGCACCCATTGATCGGTCTACCAGACCGCCTGGTCTCATCCACACTGTGTTGCAACCACTATACTGCAGGCCACAGCAACACACTCACCCACTCACTCACCACACTACAGACCAACATACACGTGGGGTCACTCCGCCACACGCAGACCAATAGACACGTGGGGTCACCCCCCCCCCACACGCGGACTAAGCGGGGATACCGGCGGGTGGGCAAACGCGGTGCGGGATCTGCGCTCACTACCCTCGCAGCGCGGGAAGTCGTAGGAGCCGGGGATGCACGCTTCACACTTGTGGCCCAGGATGCCGGCCCGGCACGCGCACTGCCCGCTGTGCTGGTCGCAGGCGGCCGACAGCGAACCGTCCAGGTTGCAGTCACACGCTGGGGGAGCGGACACGGGGACGCACGCGTCACTCGCCACGCACGCGTCGCTCGCCACTTTCCCCGAGCAAGATTCAGATGTTTCTGGCTGTTCGAGGTGTGAACTACGTCACCTGGTCTACAGGAGGTCGTGGGTGCGATCCCGACCCTGACGCCTGCTGCTGTGTATGTGGAGTTTGCGTGTTTCTCTCTCTCATCATCATCACGGTGGCTAGGAGATGTCAACTACCTCGCCTGGTCTACAGGAGGTCGTGGGTGCGATCCCGACCCTGACGCCTGCTGCTGTGTATGTGGAGTTTGCGTGTTTCTCTCTCTCATCATCATCACTGTGGCTAGGAGATGTCAACTACCTTGCCTGGTATACAGGAGGTCGTGGGTGCGATCCCGACCCTGATGCCTGCTGTGTATTTGGAGTTTGCGTGTCTCTCTCTCTCATCATCATCACGGTGGCTAGGAGATGTCAACTACCTCGCCTGGTATACAGGAGGTCGTGGGTGCGATCCTGACCCTGATGCCTGCTGCTGTGTATTTGGAGTTTGCGTGTCTCTCTGTCCGTGGTGAGATGTCAACTACCTCGCCTGGTCTACAGGAGGTCGTGGGTGCGATCCCGACCCTGATCCCTGCTGCTGTGTATTTGGAGTTTGCATGTTTCTCTCTCCGTGGTCTCATGGGGATTTTTCTCCGGGCCCACCCCAGTTTTTCCCTCCACATTTAGAATCAACGTGCATTTAGAGTATTTGGCTGATATAAATATCTAAATGATAAGCCACTTTGTTGAACTATCATTTGTAGCCAGGTCGCTTCTGAAAATAAATCTATATAGCTCAAAGGGCCTTACCTGGTTAAATAAAAATAATAATAATAATAATAGTAGTTTAGTTTCGTGAGGCCAAAGTATCACGGTTTTGGCTCCGGCTCAGCAAGGGAGTCGCTGGAAAACCACCCGAACCGTGATGGTCCCTACCCTGGCTCGGCTCGGGTGTGCCAGTGGAAAAGGGGGTTGATAGCGTTCCTCCCAGACCGTCGTCGTTTCCAGGAAAGATGCAATTCTACCGTGGGGCCAACGTGTGAGAAATGCCGAGAGCCGAGACACAAGCAGAGCCAGATTGAGTTTGAGGGGGGCTCGGCGTTGAGATGGTTTTCAGGGTGGGGGGGGGGGCCCTCACAGTTTCTTCAATTCCTTCCCCTCGACAGTTTTTCCACCAACTCTCCGCCGTTATTCACCGTGGTCATTTTAAATCCGTGCAAATCGTGAAGCTAGAGCGGAATATTAGGAAGCCACTGGAGCTGCGCACTTTGACGTCTCGGTTGAAAACTCATTAAAAAAAACTACTTAAATTTCGATTTAAAGCTATCGTGACTGCAATGATTCATCTTCTTTGGTTCTTTCGGTAAAGTCACGTAGAATGAGAATAAAATAATAAATTGATAAAATAAAATAACACAATAAAATTATCACGACGTTTCGGCCACAACACAAGCGGCCTTCATCAGGTGAAGGGGCGAGACTGTCTGGAGGACAGCGCTGTCCTACCAGACAGTCTCGTCCCTTCACCTGATGAAGGCCGCTTGTGTTGTGGCCGAAACGTCGTGAGAATATTATTGTGTTATTTTATTTTATCAATTTATTATTTTATTCTCATTCTACGTGACTTTACCGAAAGAACCAAAGAAGAAAAAACTTCTTGTTGCGTTCAGTTTGTCGTCTTTCCCCCCGCAGGGCACTCCTCAGGGCACCAGACCACGTGCGCACCACCACTGTTCAGAACGTCCCCTGTTCCTACTCCGCGACGTCTCCGCAGAGGGGAGGAAGCGGCAGTGACCGTGCCACAGGACGAACCGGCTGCAAAGTGGCGCTTCTGCGCTCACATTTCCACCGTCTGGCTTCGACCGTGACGAAGCCGTGCCGTCATATTTTTTTCCTAAAAGCTCCACCCCCCCCCTCCCTCCCCCCAGCGTCAATCCGGTCCCCCAGTCGCCGAGCCCGGCGCTCAAAACGCCGAGCGGCCGGCAACAAACGGCACGGTGAACGTTGAACAAGGCGTGAAGTGCGACGCCGTGTCCTGCAGTCCACGTGAAAAAATATTCTGATTCTGTCTTGAATTGACCGAGGTCATTACGAGAGCTCGGGAAAAGAGGCATTGGGAGGGGATTTCAAAGCGGAGCAATGCGGGCAAAGGGGGTAAAGAAGCGGGCAGGCAAGAGTGGCGGTAGCCTGCAGTGTTGGCCGTGCTGCTGCTGGTGCCGGCGATGGTGGAACACAGTGTGGTAGCCCGAGCACTTCGGCACGGAGCAACCAAACAGCGACGTTCACGGGGACGGTAAGCCGCAGCGACAGCAAGAGCGGACGGGGAGGGCGACCGGCCCGGACGAGCGAGGGGAACGCAACGTACGCATGCACACGGGGAAGCCGTAGAAGCCGTCGGCGCAGCGTTCGCAGCGCGAGCCCGCGAAGTTGGGCTGGCACGCGCAGCGCCCGCCGTGGCCGCAGTGAGTCTCCAGCGAGCCGGCCGGCTCGCACACGCACTCTGCACACGCGCACAGCGCGCGGACACAAAACATGCGGGCACAAAAAAAACACGGAGAGGACGCGCGCCCCCACCTCCCCCCTCCCCCCTAACTCCCTCCACACGCCCACTCGGTCAACTCTGACTGCCGATGTTTTACACCTCCGATTAGCACGGTTGGCTACGTACGGTGCGTAACAAGTTCAACATACATCCATAAAGTGCACCAGGTATTCGTTTAAAAAAAAACAAACAAACAGGTGACCTCGGGAAGGCCCAGGCACAGTTCATGTATCACTCGCACAGCGATTTCAGCCGTGGCCCGGAAATCTAATTAGAGTAGAATCGGACTCTGCACGCCAGCGTGGGGTGTTGAATGAAACTCGGTATTTGTATGTTTGTGTGCTCAGTGTGTGTGTGCTCAGTGTGTGTGTGCTCGGTGTGTGTGTGCTCGGTGTGTGGGTGTGTGTGAGCAGTCTGTGTGTGTGTGCTCCGCGTGTGCTCGGCATGTGTGCTTAGAGTGTGTGTGTGTATGATCAGTCTGTGTGTGTGTGTGTGCGCTCCGTGTGCGTGTGTGCTCAGTGTGTGGGTGCTCAGTGTGTGTGTGCTCAGTGTGTGTGTGTGCTCAGTGTGTGTGTGCTCAGTGTGTGTGTGCTCGGTGTGTGTGTGTGTGTATGATCAGTTTGTGCGTGTGTGTGTGTGCTCAGTGTGTGTGCTCGATGTCAGTCGACCCGTGGCACCTGGGTCTGCCCCGTGACCTCCTGCCAGCGGGCGTTCTCGACACTTCACGTGGCCTCAACGTGCACCTAGCCTGGCACAAGCGCCGTGGTGACGTCACCGCCACTTTAGTGGCGAGTGGCGCTTGTTGTTGTTGCTGCGCTAGTCGCGCGTACGGCACGTGTGCCTCTGTGCTCCCTGCCGGAGTGCGTGCGCGCGCCGCACGGCGGTGGCGCGGGGAGCGTGGCGACGGCGGAGCGCACCCTGGCACTGAGGAAAGCTGTGGAAGCCGGGGTTGCAGGTCTCGCAGTGGGAGCCGCCGTACTCCGGGCGGCACATGCAGCGCCCAAAGTCGTTGCACACGTCCTCCTGGCAGCCGTCCTGGTAGCACTGGCACACTGCACAAAGACAAAGATCCACCCCACCACCCCCCCGTATAGCCTCTTAACAAACTGTTTGGGGGCAAGCGCTGTTAGCGAGCAGCGCCTATGAAGGCCGGCACGGCACACGAGGGGGTGGGCGGCCAGCACCACGCCCGGCCGCCTTTGTCTCCTTGAGTAAGCGTTGTTTACACACCGCACCAGCCACTCATTTGAGGCTGAGTCAGCTGGTTCGCAGTGCAGCGCGCGAACCGCTACACCACGCGCACACGCACGGAGCGCGGCCGCATCTCACGAACGCACATAAACACGCGCAAGTACACTGTTTGGCGACGACCTCATGAATGCAACGCGTGTCATCGGGGTTGTTTGACCGCGCTTCACCACGCCGGTCGGTGCGAGCTGGTGAAGGCGTGAAGCGCACGTTGAACTTCTTCCGGACCGTACGTAGCCAACCGTGCTACTCAGAGGTGCGGGGGGAACGACAACAAACTAAACACAAGAAGCAGTTCTAAAAAAAAATTAGTTTTCAATCTAAATACTTTTAAAGTGCACTGCTCCAGCGGCTTCCGATTATCGGAAGAGCGTTCCAGACGGCCACAGAAGCGCACCTGAGAGCGCGCGATGCGGTGACCGCCGTCTTTGTTCGACGGCGAGCCAAAAGCCGCTGCGGGGATGGACTGGAGTTCCCATGATGGTTCACGCGTAGATGCGGAAGCAGCATCGCCACGGCACAACGGTGGACATCGGACGCACTGCTTCCCCCCCCCAACGCTAGCAACCTCCCTGCCCAGCAGCCCACGGCGTGCGTGCTGTGTTTAAAGCACGGTGGTCTCCCCGCCAATGCGAGCGCCATTGAGGCGCGGCTTTCAATGGAGCCCCTTTGTACGCTTTAAGTGCTGTCGGAAAAACACCGCGGCCAAAAACTCGAACCGTTTAGCCGAGCTGCGCGGCGACTCCGCGCCCGCGCTGAATAGGTCGGGAACGCGGCGGACACAGGAACGCACAAACGGGACTTTGTCAGGGACGCGGGCAAGTTGGCCCGCCGGCACGTTTCTAGGCGAGCCGGTCACGCCTTCACCAATGACCTCGCGTGTTGTTTTGAGCGAGGTGGGTGGGGGGGGGAGTTTTATTTTTTGTGCCAGCGATGGTCAATGCGACGGCAACGCACCCCGAGGAGCGTCGCGCGCGGGCGTCGTGCCGACATTCCTGCAGGCGACTAATATTCGGGCCCGTCCGGCGTCGACATCGCAACGACGCCACGGGGAGTGGCAACTCGGGCGCGGCTCGAAGGCGAGGGTCGCAGGTCCACAATCCGGTCAGAGGACGAGCCGCGTTGAGCCGATCGTGCGCGCGAGGTCAACGAAATAGGTGCCACCTTTTGCGGAAGGTGACAACCGTGGTCGGTCAGCCCTGGGCCAGGACTGGTCCTCGATATTCTTTTAATTCTCAAGTGCTGAAATGAAGACAAATTTGCGGAACGGGCCGGGTTAAACATTTCGGAGGAATTTATTTTCGTTGGCGACCGGATGGAGACCATCGAACTCACCGCACTTGAGAAGCGTCGCATCTCGGCACCAGATGCATTGCCAGGAAGGGTAAAACCTATTATTGTTTTTTCCTACTTCGCTACTCAAAAAAATAAGGATCCCATGATATCGCTAATCACCCAGAGCTGTAAATGTTCTAACACGTGTGGCGTTGTCTTTGTGCCGTTCGCCTTTCGGCGTTCTCTGGTCTGACACTCGTGGTGAGACTAGGCCACGAAGAGGGCTGCCTACGGCGTCGGCCAATCAGTATCGAAGACGATGCACATTGTCAGGGCACGTTTGTTGACATGTTCACCAGCCGTAGCGTGCGTGGTTAATGCAGACTTGATGCCTTGCAAAAGGTTTCTATTCGATGTTTGAACGTCTTGGGCGGCTGTCGCATTGTTAGGACAGGGTAAAACCTATTCTTGCTTCTCATGCTTGAGAAGCAGGCTTAATCAGGCTGTGAAAATACAACGCTACGTTTTCACCCCTTGCTGGCAATAAAAGAGGTGTGAAGATGTACAAACACAAGTGCGTGCGGCTAATGCAGTAAACTTCATGCCTTCCAAGAGGAATCTATTTGATGTTTGAACATCCTTCACACAATTCCTGCTTTATTGCCAGAAAGGGTTTAACAAAAAAACCCCCCAACCCCCTATTCTCATTCTTTGTTTGCCTGCCGGGGCTGTTCACACGCGTCCCCGTTCCAGCGTTGGTCGCCCAACCGATCCGTAACTCAATCGCGGCGTGCGCAGGCGAACGCACCAAGCGGATAATCCAGCGGCGATAAACACCCTCGTCTCCGCCCGCCCGCCCGTCCGCCCGCCGCGCCCTGGGGAGATCGCGTTGGAGAGGCGTGGGGCGGACCGCGCGCGTGCGAGGCACTCACGCTGGCACAGCGGGTAGTTGTGGTACCCGGCGGCGCAGAGTTCACAGCGAGGGCCCTGGAAGCCGGTCCGGCACGAGCACCGCCCCGACACCGGGTCGCAGCCCGCCCCGTCGGCGCCGGGGACGGAGCAGTCGCACTCTGCGCTGGCACAAGGCACGGCCGCGTGGCACGGGGTCACAACGCCGGTTAAGGGCACGGCTGGGGTTGACGTTTCTTTCCACTGTCGACCAAACCCGGACGTAATTTCCCAGCCAGCACTTGGGTGTTATCAACGCTGCAGTGGTCCAGTGCAAGAGCGCTCAACACGATGCCAATATCACGGTTCAGTGAACATCAATTCCGGCCACCGGGTCACAGACGCCAACTCCCCGGATTGCCCGGGTCGCAACTCCGATAGGCGTAAAGCCCCACGTAACACCGTCGCATAACCGACGGTCACGTGTCTGCCTTGACCAATTCACTTCCCACGCTCGGGGGAGTATTTGTGCAGGGCGTGACTCACCTTCTGTTGTAGCCGTTTTCACAAAAAAAGCAACATTTTGCACGCGAAGGAATGCATTCTCAATCTCACGTTCGTTCATTTTCATTCTAAGGTAGGGTGAAGCAGTTTCCAATATTTAAAGGTAATTTTCGCTCAACAAAACATATACATAACGAATGTTTAAATGGCCAGCCCCAGTCCGACGCAATCGCTTTCACCATCCTCGAGCAAGAGGTTGCACACAGAGAAACTTCAACTTTAATGAAAACAAACTCTGCCTACAGTGACAACGAGCATTTGGAGGAGGCCAAGATTAAGACCACGAACGCAGCCAGGTAACAGCAGAGGTCCCTCAGCCATTTAACCCTGATTTTGGGTCGTGCTCAATGCAGCCGTTTCTGCATGAATGATCATCATCGGCCACGACCTATCCACTGCTGGATAAGTGCCCCATCGAGCCGCCACCGGCCCTCGTGGTCGAGTTACGGAGCCATCCAACCCAGTTCCTGCACGTTGAGCCCCTTTTCATCGCTCCCCTCCAGGGCGTGTTCCTTGCCCGGGGCTGCCACTCCTTTTGTGAGTCCCGATTGTCAGCCATCGTCCCTCTTCGGTATCTTTCAGCTTGCTCTGAGCACCACCACTCCCACCACCACTCCCCCCACCACCCCCCCCCCCGTGCCCTCTCACCCTGGCAGCGAGGGTAGCCGTGGTGCCCGGGTGCACACGCGCTGCACGTGACGCCGGTGAAGCCGCGCCGGCATGGGCACTGCCCCGTGGCCGTGCTCCGGAAGCAGGCGTCCGAGCCGTCGGCAGAGCACTCACAGCTCACTGTGCACAACGCGGGAATGGATCGGGGGCAGGGCGGCGGTGGGGGGGGGGAGGACAATCAGGGGGCGCTTGGGGAAAGGTGGCCCAGGCGGAGAGATGTGTGTGATCCCACGGGAGTCGTTTTGCTTCTCCTTCAGTGCCTCTCGAATTATAGGAAGCTTCAAACTCGACAAGTATGCAGATTCGCAATTGATTTTGGGGGGTTGGATCGCGAACAGAAAGATGCGCGTCGTCCACACCCTCCACCTCCACCCAGCCAATTAAAAAGGTTGTCGCGTGGCGTTTAGCCGGTACCAATTGCAAGACTTGTAATTTTAAGCATGAGGCTTAAAACGCGTGTCAGATTTTCTGGGAGTAGCACAGCCCAGGTGCAAATCTACGAACTAAACGGCTGCTTTTTTTTTATTTGACGCTGCTTAATTGTTGCATCGAAGAGCTAAAATCACGATTGCATTGCCGGAGGAAGCGATTGTCATGGGACGCTGCCAGTGCCGCCGTGTAACGGTCAGCACGCCGGACTTGGAATCCGGAGGTTGTCAGTTCGATTCGCTCCCCTGGCACGGGGCAGGAGAAACGGCGGGGCAAGTCTCGTTAATCCCCCTGCCTCTGTCCACCCGACCAGTGTAAATGGCTAAAACTGAACTAAAAACTATTTTTTTTATTTTACCAGGTAAGGGCCCACAGAAGCCACCTGGCCACAAATGATAGCTCAGCAAAGTGGCTTACCACGTGGAAATGTATTGGAGCCAAATAATCTCAACGCCTGACGATGATCCTGCATGTGGAGGGGGATCCGGAGAAAAATCCACGTGGCCACGGGGGGGAGAGACACACAAACTCCAAATATACAACAGCAGGCGTCAGCGTCGGAATGGAACGCACGACCTCCTGCATACCAGGCGAGGGAGTTAACATCTCACAGCGCAGTTAGTTGATTGGCAGGTAGCACTTTGTGGGGTAAAGCGTGGGTACTCCCAACTCTTCTAAGACGTCTGGCCCAGCGTGGAGAAGGCCACAAGCCCTGCTGTAGAGGGAGCTCCCTAGAGGTGCCCCCCCCCCACCACCCCCTCTCTCCTGGAGACGCTCCCACCAGCAGTTGCCATGAACAAGCCATTGCAGGGGGCAGTCCCCTTTACTTTTCTACATTAATTTATCGTGAATCCGGCTACCCTGCCCCGGGCTGCTCCTCACCGCGGGGGGAAGCGACGCACGGAGAGCGGCGCGACTCGGTACCTGTGATGTGGGCTACTTGCTGAGCGACGGGCGGCGGAGTTGGGAAGCTTGTGTTCCGGAGAGCTGTGGAGAGAAGCAAGCAGGAGACACTCGGGGCAGAGCACAAGTGAAGGCCGCACCGGCCCACGGTCGTGGTCTCGGCGAGCTACTCTATCGACGCACCGACAAAGACAAAGATCCCCCATGTAGCCTTGACAGACTGTAGGGGCAAGTGCTGTTAGCGAGTAGCACCTGTGAAGGCCGGAACGGTACACGAGGGGGTGGGTGGCCAGCACCACGCAAGACCGCCTTAGTCTCCCCAGTGGCGATGCTTACACACCCACCGCACCAGGTACTCATTTGAGGCTGAGTGGACCTAGGGGAGGCCCAGGACCGGTTCAGATAATCGTCACTGGTGTTGGCCGTGAGCGGGAATCGAAACCAGATTGCCGGGTTCATAGTGCAGCGCGCTAACCGCTACACTACCGCTCCCCGACACCCACACAGACACACGCAGACACAAAGACCTCCTTCATAGACGCCCGGCAACAACACATCGCGAGCAGGAGACGGGGCTCTGTTGCGTCTCGATAAATCGCGGCGGCTTTACATGGATGTAAACAAAAACATTATCGTAGCTAGAACACGGGACCTTTCTTGCCAGTTTCAAAATATAATAAGAGTTTTTACCCTTTCTGGCAATAAAGCAGGTGTTCAGATGTTAAAACACAAAACAGCGAGACTAATTTGTTCATGCGATTGCAAATTATGGCGAAGCAAGTACGGAGTAACCTATGACCAAATCACCTACAATGCACCAATCTTGTGAGATGTAGAAATCTAAGCTGGACTTGAGTCTGAATTGTGCACGGATTGGTCACAACTATGCACAGCGGGTTGTTGTTATAGGCTGCAAGCTACGGCACGGAGAGCAGAGGGCAAATGCAGCAAAACCTACTGCTGTACTGTACTTCCATGCTCCCGTGGCTATGCTCTCCACCCTTACCGTCCCGCACTGAGCAGCGTGGTTTAAGTGTGCTATAAACTCCCATGACCCACACGGCAGGGGCCTCATCCAGCAGTGGAGTGAGCAAGGGCTGTATGTTTACATTTGGTTTCACCATGTCGGTGTACATGATTGAGGCAACGTCTTTAAATAAAAATCTTGACTTAAAGCTTTCGTGACTGCAGGAATTCATACTCTTCGGGTCTTTCGGTAAAGTCACGCAGATAGGTTCAAAGAAAATATCAACAAAAACCTACGACGTTTTGATCGCAACACAAGCGTTCAGCCTGTGTACGCATCTCACGTCTTATTACGGACTGTGCTTTATCCCATATTATATATTATTTATTCGAACGCGATTTTTCAATGCGGCGTTCTTCAGGAACTTTAGGAACGCAACTGCTGCATTATAGGAAAACAGACTGTGCTTACCAAGACAGAGGGAGCCCCGGTGTGCTGTGGCTGCCGTTCTTGCACTATGAACCTGAGTTTGTGATGCTTGGCCAGGGCTAATAATAATTAAATTCTAATTAATTTAGCTTCTTGTGTTTAGTTTGTTGTGATCCCTGCGATCAGCTCCGTACGGTGAGAATGAAGTTCAATATGGATGATACTGGTGAAATATGGACTTTTGTGCCTCTTCAGATAATAATAATATAATACTTGACTGGTTGTTGTGGTTTTGTGGCCTCTCGACCACCGACTGGTTATTGTCCACAGGTGTAAACATCGCAATGCTTACACCGGCCCTCACGGCCTCTACGGCCCTCAAGGATCCCCACGGCCCTCACGGATCCCCACAGGCCCCCACGGCCCCCACAGGCCCCCACGGCCCCCACAGGTCCCCACAGGCCCCCACAGGCCCCAACGGCCCCCACAGGCCCCCACAGGCCCCACGGCCCCCACAGGCCCCCACAGGCCCCCACGGCCCCCACAGGTCCCCACGGCCCCCACAGGCCCCCACGGCCCCACAGGCCCCAACGGCCGCCACAGGCCCCCACGGCCCCCACAGGCCCCCACGGCCCCCACAGGCCCCAACGGGCGCCACGCCGGGTGGAGCCGACACTCACGCCAGCAGTGGGGGTAGCCAAGGAAGCCGCGGGCGCACTGCTGGCACCGCTCCCCGGAGAAGTTGGGCCTGCAGAGGCAGTAGCCGCTCCGATCCTCGCAGCCGCCCAGCGTGTGTTCCAACTCGCAGTCGCACGCTGCAAGCGCACGCACAGGAGAGAGACAAAGATCCCGCCGCGTGGCCTAACCAGACTTTTGTCGACCTATGCAAGGCCGTGCGCCGGTTCAGTTATTCGTCACCGATGTTGGCCCGTGAGCGGGAATCGAACCCGGGTCGCCGGGTTTGTAGCGCGGCGCGCTAGCCGCTAAACTACCGCTCGCACATACCCACGCACGCAACGACGCACTGCAGCGTGATCTCAGGTGGGAAGTGAAACGCGTGAGGACACCCACCGAGGAAGCGTCGTTGCGTTGGACGGGTTCACGCGTGGTGGTGTGGGGGGATGGAAGGGAGGGGGCGGGGGGGATGGAGGGGGCGGGGGGGGAAGAGGAGGGGGGCTCACCCTGGCACGAGTCCTGAGCGGTGGGAGGCACCCCCGCCAGGCGGTAGAATCCCGGCTTGCAGCGCTCGCAGTTCACCCCGTCCGTGTTGTGCTGCACAAACGCATCGGCAGCGTACATCAATTCCCTCCTCCCCGCAAGACAACGCGCGTACGGCCCTCTGGTCAGTTCGCTGCTGGACGACGGACTCCCCACGGCGTGCGGGTCGCCGGGGTCCATAGAGGCCCTCGGGTTCAAATGACCGCACCAATCTGTGATGATTATTGTTGCTGCTGTTATTTGTTCCGACACAGTCTGGTGGTGTTGGTGGCGGAATGCTCAACTCGCGGCTCATAGGGTTACGAGTTGCACATCAGTCCATCGTCTCCCAGGGGTGGGTAAATACGAGTACCGCTTTGGCAAGCCGACAGTGGTTGTCCTATGGAGAGTGGCCTCTGCCATTTAGGGCCCTCTGTTAATCCACCGCTCGACGAAGGCCCCTCCACGTTGTGAGGGTCGTGGGCGTTATTCGACGATACTTCACCACACTGGCCAGTGCAGGTGGGAGAGGGCATTGCACGTAGACACCGGAGCATCGTACAGCACGACGTGGGCCATCAGCAGCCCACAGCGCCTGGGATTGTGTGCACGGCGGGCACCCATCCAAGCGCTATCTCCGTGCTCAAAGCCTACTTGGCTTCCCAGGTGGGGTGAGATCGGATGCATCCTGGGCAGTTTAGTCAAGGGGCTCGACAGATCCACAGATGTTCAAATTGCCTCCGCTGTTGTGACCTCACGAGATCGACGACCGGGCAAAGGCACCAGGGAGGATCCCTGAATGAGGCAGCACGTGGCTAGGAGATGTTAATTACCTTACCTGATATACAGGAGGTCGTGGGATCGATCCCAACCCTGACGATGCCTGCTGTATATAGCTGGAGTATGCGCGTCTCTCTCTCCCCGTAGTTGCATGGATTTTTCTCCGGGTCCTAGCGTTTTTCCCTCCACATTTACAAGCATGCGTTTTAGAGTATTTGAATGCGTGGAGTTAACCAAATTCAAAGATCGTGTTTAAACCAAAGCCCTTTGGTCTCTCATTTTGTGTCAACGAGTGCACACATTTGCACGTGATAAGCCACTTCATTGAGCTATCATCTGTGGCCTGGTTGCTTCTGAAAAAATATCTATATAGCTCAGTGGGCTTTACCTGGTCATTTAAAAAAATAATTTACCTGGTGCACGTAAGCAGGGCCATCCCCCGGTGCCTCCAGCTCTACTCAACATAAGTCGTGGGTTTCGTCATGTTCAGGCTTCACTGCTGGGCGTGGCAAACTGAGTGACCGTCAACACGACTGCATTAGACTGAGAACGTAAACTCACTCGGTTTGATGAACGTGATTTAACCCAGGTTCTCATTTGCATGGGCTTGGTGCTCATCAGTGGGTAAGTTCGTGGGTGGGTGAGTTCCTGGGTGGGTAAGTTCATGGGCGGGCGAGTTCCTGGATGAGTGAGTTCATGGGCGCGTGAGTTCCTGGGCGGTTAAGTGAGCGGGTGACTGAGTAATCAGGAGCGTGTGTCCGAATTTCACAAACTTTAAGACAAGGCAATCGAATGGCCAAATCACTTTCAACTCTAATAGTTGCTCTTCGCTGACGATACGAAATCCTCATCATCATCACGGTCACCAGAGGCCGAGTCGATCCCCAACTGGGATTTTCACCCAGAACCCTTCCCGATTGTGAACCGAGCGCTCTCCCCACGCCGCCGCCTCTGCCGGGGGGGAGGGTGGGGTACAAGAACGGAGCTCCGATGGGCGAAGGCCGTTGCTCACCCGGCAGTTGAGGCAGCGACCTCCGCCCTCGCGCTCCCCGCGCACGTTCAGGCTCCCTCTCGTCCTCTCCACCTCCGCCTCGTACTCGCACTCCTCCGAGTGGCCGTGGCAGTTGCAGGCTGTGGGAAGACGAGGCCAGAATGAAAAACGGACGTGTGCACCTTCGTCGGATGCGCGCGCGCGTGCGCGCGCGGGGGAGCGGTCGTGTAGTGCGGCGGTCAGCAGCGCGCTGCGCTACGAAAACCCGGCGACCCGGTTTCGATTCTCGCTCGCGGCCACCGACTGCGAGGAGGCTCAGGACGCTCGTTGAGACAATCGTCACCGGTGTTGGCCTTGAGCGGGAATCGAAGCCGGGTCGCCGGGTTTTCGTAGCGTAGCGCGCTGACCGCTGCACCGCCGCCCCCCCAATTTCCACGCGCACACGCGAGTGCACGTGCACGTGTGGCGACATAACTCGCGACCCCAGAGCAGTCCCCCACTTAATGCTGGATCTGCGATTGGGTCATGCTTACACAACACACGTGTTGCTCAGATGCTCCGTGCCTTCTCAGTGCAAAGCATCTGGGGAGGTCCCCGAGGTCCGTTTTAGCCGTCGTGATGCCCGCCCCACGGGGACCTCCGACTTTGGAGTGCGTCAACATATTTCGGGAGGGAACATTTTTCCACCCCCCTTAACACAGCGGGTATGTTTTTTCCCACTGGTTGGATAAAAAAACTAAATCTTTATTTTTAGCCATTTTTTTTGCAAGTTGCAATTTCGAAACGTTATAAATGTTCTGACTTTGCTTACGATCTGAACTTTATTTTTTTATTATACAATCGTCTTTTGGTGGCGTGCGTAAAGAATGCTCACTTGCAAATGAAATTGGCCAAACATCCCCATTTTCAGGACCCTTCTTTAAAGCCTTAATGCGACTTTGCGAAATAGAGATCAGAATATTTATTTGAAATGGAGGAATCCGATAAGCTATAAAGCTCTTTTTCACAGGTCAGAACGTTACAACAACAAACTATACAAACAAACGCCAGGAGTGCACAGTATCAAAAAGGTGAGCAAATCGCTTGAAAAAAACAGATAGAAATGAAACTAAACTATTTATTATTAAGTAAGTAAGAACATTTGTTATTGTGCACTCTTATACGATTCCAGTCCATCACGAATGCGCAATGACCACGCGTTGCAGTGGGCTCTCTGAAACAGCAACACCGTTTTGAGTCTGTTGTGAAACTGGCTCAGACTGAGGGATGGATCCCCGGACATGAGCTGCTCGCCGTCTCCCAGGTCTTTGGGCAGGAGACCTCGAAACTGTGCTGGCCGTGTCACGCGCGAGGTTTAGACGCGGCGGGTACAGCGGCAGGTCGCCGCGAGCCGCGGATCGTAGTCGGAGTCGATTTGGGTCTGTCGCAGCCGGTAGGCGCTGATCGGCGAGGTAGGACGGAGCGGATTGATGGCGGCTCATGAAGACGACCTGGCATAATTTGTACGTGATCCTGTATTTGATAGGCAGCCAGTGCAGATCATCACGTGATAGTTAGGAAACATATTTCTGTTTCCTAGCTATCAAAGCCCACTGAGCTATTAAGCTTTTTTTTAATTTTTCCGCAGAGACCTGGCCACAAACGATAGCTCAACGAAGTGGCTTGTCGCGTGGAAACTTCCGAGCGGCAAAATCATCTGATCAACGCGTGTAGATCGAGAGGTCACCAGCAGTCACGGAGTAGCGTGCTCGCTGCCGCCATCGCTCAGCGCTTCCTTCCTCCTGCCAGACACTTAGGCAGCATGACTCAAGGCACTCCAGGCCACCACTGCTGGGACTGCAGGGCGACTGCACTGGTGGGAATGCCAGTATGCGTACACAATGGGCAGGGGGGAACTGGCACATGCCATGGGAATGTGGAATTTCCGCGTCCGTTAGCTCGCGAGGCTCTGGATCAGAGGAACGCCCCACTTAAGGCGATGGCTACATTCCTTTTTAGGCGTTTTTTTTGGAAACGAGATGAAAATGAACTTCCTGAAGACGATTCTTCTAAAGCAGAGGTCCCCAAACTTTTTGGCACCAGGGACCGGTTTCATGGAAGACAATTTTTTTCATGGGGGGGGGGGGGTTCATCATTGGGTCTTTCCCCCTTTTCAAAGAAGCTCTCCAGCAACGTTTGTTTTTTGCCCATTTTGGCTACTAGGGGTTAGCTTGTGGGGCTTACCAAAACTGTGACTGAGACAAGTGCGCAGTGCGGGAAGTGGTAAATAATAAAATCATGGGAGGGTCACGCACGGGCTCACCGCTCACCTCCTGCTGTGCGGCCCGGTTCCTAACAGGCCACGGACCGGTACCGGTCCGCGGCCTGGGGGTTGGGGACCCCTGGTCGAAAAGACGGGATGATACCCCTAGCTACCGATACAGGAAGGTCATTAACCCAGTTGCTGTACCGCAATTTAATGGCTCACCACTGTCTCTATGCGATCGTCTCTGTGCGAACGATCTGGCGTAAAAAAAAAAAAAAAACGAGAAATAATCTGGAGGGCAAGAGATGAGATCGAAGCGGCAGGAAGGAGCGAAACGTCCGCGAAGGAGCGGAACAAAGACGACGCGGATGCCCCGTGGCTCCCATAGCGCGGAGTGTGTACGTGAGGCCCAGGACCGTTTCAGATAGTATGTACGTTTGTTGAACTTCTTTCGCGGCGTACGCGGCCAGATCGCGCTGATCGTAGCTGCGGGGGAAGGACAAGTCGCGTCGAATGTTGTGGGAACAGACGAGCAATGTCTGCGCTCTCGTTGCGGAAAGGAGGGCGGTGGGGGAGCTAACGAAGAGACTTGAGGCTGAAGTAACCAACGCACATGCGCCACACGCTTGCCACACATGCCCAGTGCCGGATTATCCTCGTGGCAAAAGTAGCTACATATGTAGTAGCTACGGGCCCCGCACTTTCAAGGGCCCATCGCTCAATGCTTCAAGCTATCAATTCCGGTTCGGTGATTCTGCACTTGCTCTATTACTATAGGACTATACCGCCTGCGACTTTTGTGAACGACTGGGTGTTTAAGGTTAGCGGTTTGTCGTAATTTCTGGCTCTATAGAAAATGAAAAAAAATACAATTACTTTACCGTGCAAGTAAAAAAAAATCGTGCTTTAATAATTATGTTTCTTTTATTATTTTGGGCTACAGGCCCCGCACTAGCTTCATCCGGCACTGCACACACGCCACACCCGCCACGCTGTGGAGGTGTGTGCAGTATCTTGACGGTCTTCTACAAAGATCCCCGGCAGATTCAACTTCTCACCCGGCCCCCAACCCCTACACCACCCCCCCCCCCCCCCCCGAGACAAAGACAAAGATCCCCCGTATAGCCTTAACAGACTTTTTGGGGCAAGTACTGTTAGCGAGCACCTATGAAGGCCGGAACGGTACATGAGGGGGTGGGTGGCCAGCACTACGCCCGACCGCCTTTGTCTCCCCAGTGGCGATGTTTACACACCGCACCAGGTACTCATTTGGGGCAGCGTCGACCTAAGTGAGGCCCAGGATCGGTTCAGATAATCACACGACCGCTCCCCACACACCACACGACCGCTCCCCACACACCACACGACCGCCTCCCATACACACCACACGACCGCTCCCCACACAAACCACACGCACTGCTGCAACGTGGCCCCAGATATAAACCAGGCGGGCCTGGGAAAGCGAACGCTGGCCACTGATGCCAACATTTACTCTGAAAATCTAAATTCACGGGGGTTATGTTTTTCCTTCCCATCCAGCACACGGTAAACAAATTAATTTTAAAAAAGCCTTAAATTTGTTCAACTTTTACCGAGCAGCTGAATATCTTAGCGCCAAGTGCAACTGGCACTGCATTGCACCGACGATGGGTGCAGTCCAGCAGCTGCCCCCTATTCCCTCCGCTGATCCCTGCGGGGAATCACCACGGGGGTCGATGGGACGTTAAAGAGCCCGAGATAATTTTAAACGGCGGCGAACAGCGCACATCTCAAATGTGTCCGCAAACAAAACAAGTGAGCGACGGTCCTTCTGCAACTCAAGTCGCCGATTCGCTGGCCTGTGCGACAAAGTCCACCTTTGGGTCAACGCGATTGCAATGAATCTGCCTTTTTTTGGGCGAAGATTGAGGGCATTGCTCACCAATGTTTGTTTAACAAACCACACCCTGCTGATGAGAATCAGCGAAGCTGAAACTGCTTCAAGATTTGTATCCATTAATCAAATTCTACTTTGATCTGTAAAGCCCATGGGTAAATATTACGCGTTAAGTTAAACTTTGCTATGATTCTACTATCGAATAAATCCCACACTCTTCGTGACAGGGCTGAGATCATCGACTCATCACACTCGAGAACCCAGTTTCATCACAGGTGGTTGAAACTCACATTTGAGCCCAGGATCTCAACAGTGCCGGCTCGGTGATCTGATCGATCTAATCACCAAGCCTCCGGCCCTTCTCTAATTCTAAAACGTTTAAGGGGCATGGGCTCTGACGGGGCCTAGCGTAGGATCTGCATTCCGGGGCTTACGGAGTCTGCAGTGAAGTCGATGGTTGGGTCACACGGCTGCAGCGCCGTCCGCAATGGGTGCGTCGAGGCTTGAGCGCGCCCCAATCCAGAAGCGAGAGCACATTTGAATCGCTATCAGAGTCAATAATGACATTCCCCGCAGCAGGAAAGTTGGTGGGCTGCCTAAACAAACCGCGGTATAAAAAAACACGTGATTCGTGAAGTTCCACGCTCACTTTGACTCCGAGCCCCATCACGATTTTAATACACTGGTGGCACGTTGAAATCAAACGGCGATTTTGCTTTAAGTTCACACTCCGTCAAGTTTCGGGTTCACGTTTCGGGAAGGCTTTCTCACGTAAGAGTGTCTACGTTATTTTATTACTTAGTGTCGGATGAAAACATCTGCGGAAAAATCGTCTTCTGAAAAAGGCAACTTAATCTCGTGCATGACTACTACAACATGAGGAATGTTCATCTGGTACTATCATTATAATCCCGTCTGTGCTTAAATTGCGTGGATTGCAATCCCGACATGCCAATCGGTCTAAATCCGCCAACTGGAAAAAGAAAAAAGGCCTATCATGGCTCCAGTTCAGTTCATGAACACAAACTGCACAAAGTGACCTGTTGACAGTGTCTTTAACTGAGACAAGGAAGCGGTCCTGCTGGCCAAACAGCTGCTGATAACCGTTTCGGTTGAAGCGGATGTTTTAAAATTAACGAACAGCATCCGGCACGTCGTCCAAGCCACGGCAAATGTCGCCAACTGAAAGCTGAATCTCGGCATGACCATGTCTTTTTTTCTTTTACCACAAACGAGCGAATTGGGAACAGGACTTTTAATTAATTCAACTTGGGCGCATCCGAAATGATTCGTGGCAAGAAAGCAGTCGCAGATGTACTACGGAACGGGGCAGGGGTGGGGAGGTTTGTGATGAGTGGGACGATAGTTTATCAATGGAGGAGGGCCGGATACCGGGCACGGGCATTGGAGTGGTAGCCACAGGTTGGTAAGCGAAGACCAGACAATGGGAGGCTGTAAGAATAGGACCTTGGAGGCGTAGTGGTGGACTGCACCTCCGATTAGCATGGTTGTTCTAGGTACAGTGCCAAAAGAAGTTCAACATACAGCAATGCACAAGCGCCAACATCGATCGCGACACAGACGTTAGGATGAACCCCGAGTGGCCGAGGTTGCCATTGACCAGATACGCCAGTGACACATTCGCCTCTCAGAGAGCGCACACTGCGGCCCTGTGAAGAAATGCTTTTGAATGGGGCCATCAAGCTGAGGTTTGTGGCCTGGCGCTTGGTGGCTAAAAGCAACCCATTTCTGGGAAGCCCAACCTGGACACATAGCGAGTTGGCAGCCCCTCCTTCTGTCAGCCCCGGCCACATTTGCATCAACTATTCTTTTTTATTTCGCCAGGTAAGGCCCACTGAGCTTTACAGCTCTTTTTCAGAAGCGACCTGGCCACAAATAATAGCTCAACGAAGTAGCTTGTCAAGGGGACATTTCTCGGAGCCAAATACTCTAAAACACATTATTCTGAATGTGGAGGAACAAACCGCGGGACACGGAGAAAAATCCACACAACCAAGGGGAGAGAGACACGCAAACTCCAAATATACAGCAGGCGTCAGGGCGGGGATCTAACCCACGTCCTCCTGTATACCAGGCGAGGGAGCTCACATCTCCTAGCCACTGTGGCACTCAACCACTCACCCCGCCCACACAGGGAGTGGCCTCCTCCTCACCTCTCCCCAACATCGGAGACGAACCTCCTGCTCACAGGCCCCGCTCACTCCTCAACCAGCCAACCCAACCCACTCCTCGGCCAGAGTCGCCCACGCTTTGCTCACGTCGTGAATCAAGGACGAGGCGGGAAAATATTCTTAAACCGTGGACAACATCGGGACAGACTTTCTGAATTGCGTCTGTCCGGGCCAAACGAGGAATTTGCTACTCTTAGGCAGAGGGGGACGGGAGGGGGAGGTGCAAATGCAGCAGATGCAGAGACGAGGTCTGTTTTTTTCATGGTGGACACTGCAATGAGTTCATGCAAAATGTGCAACGCATTACTCCCAGAAGCCCCTGTTGCGCTCTGCCCAGCCTGGCCCTATTCCCGAGTGCACTGATTCAGCACTGGCGCGCACCATAAACAAGCGGGGCAGCCAAGGGTTATCGAAAAGGGTGGCGGGGGTGTGGTGGGGTGCGAGGAGGAGGGGGGGGCGGTCATGTGGGGACAAATGTGGGATGTGCATTTTACACGGCGATCGCTGCAGGCAGGCAATGCGCACGCGCTCACAATGTGCCGGGGCAAATGCCCCCCCCCCCCCCACCGTGGCTCAACCAGTGGGGCGAGGCGCATCTCTGTCGGAGGCCCTGCAGGCGGTGGGTGACAATTCCACGTTGATTTTTTTTTTTTTTACAAAAATCCACCACCGTTGAATTTGTTAATTTATCGACCGTTGAGGAACGATGGGCTGGAGACAACCTTCAACCCGGGATTTGAAGGAACGCCCCTCCTGATTGCAGCTGAAGCACTCTACCAGCGTCATATTTGGAAAGCCAACGGAGCTGTGCACTATACTCATTGTTTTTTTTTTTCGGTAAAGTCACGTATGTAGAAAATTATATTAAAATAATAATAATAAATCACGACGTTTCGAACGCAACACAAGCGATCGTCATCAGGTGTAAAACAAATAGTGAGGGAGCACATAGGGGGACATCACGTACATAGCACATAGAGAGCGTTAAATTGTACGGAGGCAAACACAACAAGAAGATGAGAGACGAGAACTCAACAAACCTAAGAACAATAACGCGATGCAAAACCAGTCGGCCAACAACACAGTTAGACACTGACCTTGTTAACCACGAATTTCAGAAGACTGCTAAATTTCGTGTTCATCCTCTGGGTTGAACAAACCAGCATAGACAGAGTGCTGTGCACTTTTAAATCTAGATTGAAGACTCATTTCTTCAGAACTGCTTTTTGTGCTTAGTTTGTCGTCCTTCCACCGCACCTCCAATAAGCCCGGTTGGTTACCTACGGCGCGAAAAATGTTCAACATATATACGTACACTTCAGCAAAATAATGGCTATACCTTCAGAACCCGAGTTTATACCTCCAAGCTTACACGCCCTCTAGTGCCGATGACGAAATCAAATGAAATGCACTTCTCATCAGATCTCAGAAGCTAATGAGGATTTAGCCTGAATAGTGCTTGGATGGGCAACCATCATGCACACACAGGCGTCGGCTGTTGCGAGGCTATCAAAGTCAGTGCAACAAGATTCATTGTTGTCATGTTTTTCTAGGCTCCCCCATTTTCACCAGCCTCCACTGAGCAGCATGGTGAGAGTATGGATAAGTAATTATTGTGGACCGCACGGCGCGGCGCGAGGGGCTCTCGTCCAACGGCGGATCAACAAAAAGGGGTCATTCGCTGCAACCGCTATGCGGTCGTGAGTGGGGCTCTGAATGTCGCTAAATGTTCAGCGTTGGTCCCCATTGGGCTGCTTTGCTAAGCGGTAGCACGGCGCTACAGGGACTCATAATTTAGCCCCACGACACCTGGGGTGGAAAATTATTCCGCAGCATCCACCATGGGCAGTGTTCATCATGGTCAGAAGGTTAAGTGTATACACCATCTGTTTTGGAAATATATTTCCTATTTATTTTTGATATTCCATGGATTCGTCCGTATTTTTTTTCTCTCCCCCCGAAACGATATTCTCTCTCAGACATATGATGGTACCATTTGAATGACAATTTCTCATAAAATGTTACCATGCTATTCCTGCCATCAAATATATTTGTAGTGTAGAGATAAAATTGTTAAAGAAAATAATTGATGGCATTTGCTACAGTGGGTGGTGCCGATAAAGCCATTTTGGGTCAATGGCTGAGATCCTATATGTGATATTCAGTAAAAAAAAACTATTACATTACAATATCACATATCTGGCCATGACATATCAAACCCTGACCAAATATCTGCAAGTTGAAGGGTGGGTCCCGTTCACCGCTGAATTTCGGAACGCATAAGCGGTTCAGGGTTAATTTTATTCAGGAGGCGGAGCGCCGTTGTTTTTAAAGGCACTGTACTCACCGCAGAGAACTGTAGAGACACGACCGCACTCTACGATAGCTGGCGCCAAACTGTGCCACACGCCCTCCTGCATGGCCTTGTGGGAGCCTCGGTGCCGATAAAAGTTATTTTATTTTAGTCATCGGAATGGGAAAGGGTTAACCACCCACACGGAGGATAGTATTTGTCCATGATGGCGTAAACTGTAATTTTCTCTAGATGTTCATATTTCTGACCTTTTCATATATCACAAACTCACTGCAATTGACAACCCAGGTTTAATCAAAGCCAGCTGTCCACAATCGAACCCAGGATACCAGCAGTGCCTGCTCAGCAGCGCTCTGACCTCGAAGCCACCCGTGCACGTTGCCAAGAGGGAGATTAGAAATGCCCCTTTTCCACCGGCCCACCAGCGCTGCGCCAGTGAGGGGCCCTCACGGTATACGGGGGTCGGCGTTATCCGCTGGATATTTGCCAAGCAGAGCCGGAACCCAACGGTTAAATTCTGGCCTCACAAGGACGTCCGAATCTGGCTCCGGGCAAAACAGACTCATGGGTGGTGGCGGAGGTTGGGGATTCATAATGTCATTCTCGTCAGCGTGTGACGTCAGCAGCAACTGGCTCAGATTCTGAATTGGAGAAAAAAACGACCGGGCGTTCTCCTCTGGACCACGCGGGGAGGGCTTGAACAGTGGAACCGTTATAAAGTCGTTTTTTTTCTTCTTTTCAGGGCTATATCGCGTAAATATAAATGTGTTGTTAAGCCCACCGGTGTGCTGAAGTTGTAACCAATTGGCACATTTTGTTTACGTGACAAACCTTTCTAATTGGCTGCGTCGGGTGGTGGTGGCGGGTTTAACGACGCATTCACATTTACACGTTGGAACACGAAAAAAAACACCTTCATGACGAATAACATTGGTCGCGAAAGCCCTCCTACTACGCGTTGACGAGTGTCAACACACCCGCGTGGTGGCGGCGGCGGGGACTTCTACGTACGTTCACACTCGTTGGCGCTGTCGACGGTGGCCGGTCTCCAGGGCTTCTGGTGGAAGCCGGGGCAGCAGGTCTCACACGACTGCCCACACGTGTTGTGCTGGCACTCGCACCGCAGTCTACGGAGGAAACAAACAACGGGAGTAACTCTTGATTTAGTACACTCCCCCCCCCCCCGGGGTAAGCAACGCGCGTAGCGCCACATTTTGCACCGCTGGTGTGGGCCGTTCCTGGACTCCAGAATGCTGGGCTAAAGAAAGTCAAACGAAAGCGAACTTCCGTGCAAAGAGCATCGCACGGTTTCTCATCTCCATTGAGTGGTCATGAGCCTGTGGGTGTAAATTCCATATTTCTATGGTGGGAATCAGCATAAGCATTCAGCATAAGTTCTATGACGATATCAACCTGGAACGCAGCTGGCCTCGTAAGATCTCGGAAGCTGAGCAGGATTTTTTCCTGGACAGCGCTTGTATAAGTGACCGCCGTGTTCGATCACAGCAAGAGATACTTTAAAGTTACTTCTAAGTACGCAATCTAGTCACGTCACAGTACAATTTATTTTGTTTATTTAAAAAAACGTGTTGATATGCCAACGGCAGTGACGTCACGAGAGCGCACCGAAGAGTGACTTCAGAGTTATGTTTTTCTCGAGGTGGCCAGGTGGAGCGCCGCTTACAGTGCTCGCCCGGAACATCTGAGGACCTGGGATTGAATCCAGGTCTGAGCCGCTGCCTGTGATTAACCCAGGTGGCTCAAGTGCAAGCGGCTCGATGGCCTCAGCACGGTCACCAAGGTGTGTACACTGAACTTCTTTCGCACCGTACGTGGCCAACCGTTTCTAATCGGAGGAGCGGGGGAAGGCAAGCAAACGAAACAGAAAAAGGAGTTCTCAAGAAATGAGATTTAAAAGTGCTCCAGTGGCTTATTAATAATAGAAGGAAGAGCGTTCCAGACGACCACAGAAGCGCATCTGAAAGCGCGCGATGCAGTGACCGTCTTTGTTCGATGGCGAGCCAAAAGCCACTGCGAGGAAGACCGATAACTGCACGCAAAAAGTCACCGCGTAAAATGTTGTTCTGCACTTCACAAATGGCTATATTCACACTCTGGGGAATAGTGCCTGGACCAGAGGTCACTTGAAGAAGGGATCTCAGAGGTAGCTCTGTGACATCCGCTTCTTTGGGCCACAATCCAACGCGACGCGGATCCTTGGTCCCGTGACGACGACGCGCCACACCGCTGGCAACAACTGGGATAAAATTGGTGAACGTCAAAAATAAAAAAAAGTCAACGTTCGTTTCTTACGAAGGAATCTCGTGTCAGACGCAGGTGCGCCCGCGCCCGCGCCCGCCCTCCCCCCTTAAGTGAGCGCGCGATGGGAAGCGTCGGCAGCAGCTGTACTCACAGGTAGGGGTTGTGCGGGTTCCTGGCTCTGCAGCTGTCGGCGTGGCCGTGACACACGCAGCGCCCACCGATGCTGATGTCCTTGATGCTGTAGTAGTACTGCGACAACGGCGGGAGCGTCACTCGCACGCCGCCAAAACAGCGTTTCCCGCGCGCGAATTGCCAAGCGTTAGTTGCGCTCCTGGCCGCTCGGGGGACATCCCCGATGTTTGGTCTCGCAACTCTTATGCCTACTCCCTCGCAAAAGGATGCCCGTCTCAGCGGCCTTTTCTCCCGTCACGAACATTTGAAATCAGCAAATGCCGCCAGGCGGCCGCATTGCGTAGAGCGGCGGCGAAGTGGTTTGAGCACCCAAAATTTAAATTCCCGGCGAACATCGGCGGCGGGTAGCATCTGAACAACCATCTCTGGCGCCGCCCTTCGCCAACCCCACACAGACCGCCGCGGGGCGAAGTATGGTCAACCAACAGCCATGACCGACACAGCATGGGAAGCAGTGGTTTGACACGGGGCTGTAAACGACTATCACAGTATTCCTACACCGCGTTGCAAAAACAATACGACACGTTGTTCTCTAAACACGCGAGGCATTTACGCTGGCTGTGGTGGCGGTCTGCAGCTGTGAGCAGGCTCTTTGGGAGGCAAAGGGCCTTTGGTGGATCGTGCAGATTTTCGAGAGAAAAAAACAAATTTAATAAAATCGCTGGCATTCAAAATGGTCAGCAGACGTCAGTTCAGCAAGGAGGCCCTCCTGTGAGTATAATTAAGTGTTATCCCCTCGTGTTTTTTTTTGTGGGTAATCTGAGCTCATCCCACCCATGAAATACACTCCCTTTACAAAAGGACTTGTCAAATGTACTCTTTGATTCTTTCGGTAAAGTCACGTAGGTAGAAAATAAATTAAATCACGACGTTTCGGACGCAACACAAGCGTCCGTCATCAGGTGGGGGCAACACCACAGCAAGAAATTGTTTCTTGCTGTGGTGTTGCGCCCGAAACGTCGTGATTTAATTTATTTTATACCTACGTGACTTTACCGAAAGAACCAAAGAGTATGGATCCTTGCAGTCACGAAAACTTCAAATCTAGAATAACTTGTCAAACATTTCAATGCAAGACGTGCCTGATAATGAGGCTTCACACCTAAAGTTTAGCTTGCCAATAGAAACGAGACTTTATACATATCACTGGACCCACACCACAGGAACGTGGAATTTTCAACCATTGGTTCAGGGCAGAGAGCAAAAAAGATGGGTAACTAACCCATTACTATATTTGTCCAGGAAAACACATGGAGAAAAATGCAATAAAGATATGTTACACGTTTTATTGTAATAGATTCCATGTGTAATATGTAAATGTACAGCCTGTTGGTCAGCCCACTGTTGGAGGTGGACCTCCCCAGGCCTGCCTGATTGTGATGATCATCTGACCAATAATGATGGAACTATTTACAATTTTAACATAATAAAGGTTTTTTTGAGTTAGATTGCGCAAGTATAAATGTGTCGCAACCCTCCACCACCCGACACGGCCAATCGGTAAAAAATGTGTCACGTTAACAGAACGCCAACTAGTTACTTCTTCAGCCCACCGGTGTGGTTGAAGAGTGAATCCACAACATTTAGAATTTGAGTTCGACGTTTCGCTGGTAATTACATCCAGCATCTTCGGCCGATTTGCCAGAAATGTAACAATTTGAACATTTGAATATTTATATACTCTCGGAGAGAACGCCCCGCGGGGGGGGGGGGGGGGGAGGCGGGGGGTGACCGACAGCGAGCAACAAAAACTGCGACGTGGATGAACGCGAGGGAGGGATGATCGTGGAGCATGGAGGACGGGGGAGGGGCAGACTTGAATCAAAAGAACGTTGTTAGATAACCTTTATAACCCCCCCCCCCACACCACCGCCTTCCTCACATCCCTCAGGCCGAGTGGCCCCCCCACTCCAAGCCCTCCACGCGTAGCTCCTCGCCCTCCGATGTGAATCACCCCCCCCCCTCCTCCTCCTCCTCGATCCCCACCCCCCGCGTGTTCATTTTAAGATGCCAACCATGAACCCCCCCCCCCCCCTCTTCCACCCGGGATCGCGCCTGACGCGTCCCTCCGTGATGCCGCGACGTTTCTTTAGGAATGCGAATCAAAGAGCAAATGTGAACAGGAGAGAGTACGAACGGGGAGCGGCGGCCCGAGGAATGGAACTCGTCCGAGAGGAGGGCCAGACGTAGCGATGTGCGCGCGAGTTCTGGGCGGGTGGTTACATCGCAGGATCGTGAGAACTGGCAGGGCTTGGGGAGGCATTCTGCTGATGATGATCTAGTCCCCCGTATAAAAGTAAGCGTCGGGTGGTGTGCATTAGCCAGTTGTGGAAATTCCACGGTCGCATGCTAGAGAAAACTACTGTTGCCTTCCTGAGGATAGGTGCCCCATTTGTAATGAAACCACCGCATTGAACCGATCTCAAAGTACAAACAAACGCTACCTCTATTGATTTTACTTCAGGAGCTTTTGGGCCGACGGCAGCAAGAGAAGGAAGAGCGTGCCGCGGTGGCGCGGAGGCGAGATGTTAACTTGCTGGCCTGGTGTGTAGTTGGAGCGTGGGTTCAATCCCAAAACTGAGACCTTAACTCGCTGGCCTGGTGTGTAGTTGGAGCGTGGGTTCAATCCCAACCTTGAGACCTTAACTCGCTGGCCTGGTATGTAGTTGGAGCGTGGGTTCAATCCCAACCTTGAGACCTTAACTCGCTGGCCTGGTATGTAGTTGGAGCGTGGGTTCAATCCCAACACTGAGACCTTAACTCGCTGGCCTGGTATGTAGTTGGAGCGTGGGTTCAATCCCAACACTAAGATGTTAACTCGCTGGCCTGGTATGTTGTTGGAGCGTGGGTTCAATCCCAACACTAAGATATTAACTCGCTGGCCTGGTGTGTAGTTGGAGCGTGGGTTCAATCCCAAAACTGAGATGTTAACTCGCTGGCCTGGTGTGTAGTTGGAGCGTGGGTTCAATCCCAAACTGAGATGTTAACTCGCTGGCCTGGTATGTAGTTGGAGCGTGGGTTCAATCCCAACACTGAGATGTTAACTCGCTGGCCTGGTGTGTAGTTGGAGCGTGGGTTCAATCCCAACACTAGATGTTAACTCGCTGGCCTGGTATGTTGTTGGAGCGTGGGTTCAATCCCAACACTAAGATATTAACTCGCTGGCCTGGTGTGTAGTTGGAGCGTGGGTTCAATCCCAAAACTGAGATGTTAACTCGCTGGCCTGGTGTGTAGTTGGAGCGTGGGTTCAATCCCAAAACTGAGATGTTAACTCGCTGGCCTGGTATGTAGTTGGAGCGTGGGTTCAATCCCAACACTGAGATGTTAACTCGCTGGCCTGGTGTGTAGTTGAAGCGTGGGTTCAATCCCAACACTGAGACGTTAACTCGCTGGCCTGGTATGTAGTTGGAGCGTGGGTTCAATCCCAACACTGACGAACGTTGCATTGGTTGGAGTTCGCCTGTTCTCCCCGTGGTCGCGTGGATTTCTCTCCCGGTACTCCGGTTTCACCCTCCACATTAAGAATCAACGCGCTTTTAGAGCGCTTGACTGCTATACATTTCCACGTGATAAGCCACTGTGTTGAGCCATCATTTGTGACCAGGTCGCTTCTGAAAAAGAACTACATACCTCAGTGGGCCTTACATGGTCGAGTTAAAAATAGTTTGTAAATGTTGTGGGTTTACTGCCATACTAGTAACGAATCGGCACGTTCTGTTTACGTGACAAACCTCACTAATTGGCTGTGTCGAAACTCGTTCAATCAAAGTTCCTTTTTACATGAACAATCCTCGTGGCTATCCACTGCTGGATGAGGGGCCCCCTCCACGCCGTGCGGCTCATGGGGATTGTTATTTCCCTCACACTGTTCGGTGCGGGTCGGTGAAGGCGGGGAGCATAGAAGTACAGTAGAACAATGGACGGTGCTGCACTGCACAACGTAGCCCCCCCCCCCCCTCGGCAGCTGACAGGCACCTGTCGTTATGCAAGGTCAAGGGTCACCCATCCGAGCGGTCGGGCGGTGGCGGGTTTTTACCGGATCATTCACATTTACGCGATCGAACCCAAACAAATACATTCCGAAACATCACTTTAGTTTTAACTTTAAGGAGAGCAACGAAAGACCGCGGCGACCTTCGCGGACGAGGGACGACGACGGACCGATGGGCCCGGGGCCGTGAGCTTACCCTGCGCGTCACCGTGGGGTCCCGCTGCGCCTTGGCCATCAGGTGACCCAGGAGCGTGTTGGTCCTCAGGAAGCGCAGGCGCACGTTGGTGGCCTTGGTGAAGTCGCGCAGCACCTCCGAGTAGGAGAAGTTCGTGGAGCCGGGCCGCCCGTTGACGAGCGAGATGACGACCTGGTGGGTGGGGGTGGGTGGGGGTGGGTGGGGGTGGGTGGGTGGGGGATGCGACGGCACGACGAGGCCCAGGGGCGTTGGCGTCGCAACTCGCTCGGGAATCGGATCAACGCGAGGTCAGGGGCACCATCCGACGCCAGTGGCGAGACGAAGACGACCCGAGAGGAGGACCGGACGCTGCTGCTCTGAGCCCTCCACGACACTCGCCTCTCCGTGGCTTCTCGCGCCCCACGATCGGACTCATCGGCCAGCTCCGAAACTCCCCGCAAAAAAACACAGCCCCTAACCCCGCCATGATTCTCATCGATTGGCACGGACGGACGACGGCAATGACGCCATGTAATTGTATCTTCAGACGCTTTGCGAACGCGCTGCTTAACTGCACCGGTCAGTGCGGGTTGGTGCAAACGGGCAGCATAGACGGAGGGGCATAGTACGCTACAACAATACATATTGCGGCAACGGTCTCTGCTGGTAGCGGTAGCAGCGCAGTAGCCCGCAGGCACCATCCACGCTTAACCTGAGGCAAGGGTCCAGTCTCTCAACGGGATTAATTCCTGCTTAATTTTTACAAAGCAGGAGTAATAAAAATCGCACTAATCGAGTTTTGCCGTTCATTGGCACGCGCGGGTTTGGAGCCCTTGACTGCGTTTCATGAGAATCATTATCGTCGCAACGTAAACAACAATAATGATGATGTTTAGTTTGTCGCAGCGCCGTTGATGCAAGTTGCATCTCGCAACCGCTGAGGAAGCACAGACAAAGCTGGCCAGGCAGTGAGCTGGCACGAACAACAATTTGCCCGAGCTCTGGAGTCCTCTATATATTCAAGTATTTTCATCATTAGCCAGTGATATCCGAACCCATCCACGCTCTTCTCTAGGTCGACTCTGCCTTAACTGAGTACCTGGTGCGGCGTGTAAACATCGCGGCCCCAACAGCCTATGTAGACTGTGCACGTGCGTACGTAGGCACCGCTTTAACGGTTGGCGCCCGTTTGCCGTGAACGCTTTTCGCTCCCGCTTGCTGCTGGAGGATGCACACACGTGTGTGTGCGTGTGTGCGTGTGCGTGCGTGTGTGTGCGTGTGCGCGTGTGTGCGTGTGCGCGTGTGTGCGTGTGTGCGTGTGTGCGTGTGTGTGCGTGTGCGCGTGTGCGCGTGTGTGCGTGTGCACGTGTGCGTACGTGCACAATGACGCGCGCACGCCTGTGTGCGTGTGCGTGCGTGTGCACGTGCGTTTTCACTTCCCAGTGCCCCATTGTGTGCGGGGGCGATTGGCCAACGCCCCACGGTTGTATGAGCTTCCAACACACCGTGGGGGGGGGGGGGGGGGGGGGGGGGGGGGTTGGCGAGTGGGAGCCGCGCGACCACACGCCACTAACAATGCCCCGCACGTGGGGGGGGGGGGGGGGGGGATGCAGCTGCTGAGAGGGCTTTTTGAAATCTCCTGGAAGCGGATGGGAGGATCGTTCAGTCACTGCGTGTGGAGCTGTGTGTGGCCGAGGGGAGGCCCCGGGAGCAGAGGCCATCCGTAGAAATAATTGTTCGGTCGTGTCACAGCGCTGGCCAGATTATTCGACGCGTATTTACTTTACCTGTGTACTCGTTGACTTGCGCACCGCCCCGGCGTGACGAGTCGTCACGCCGGACTTGCAATCCGGAGTTCGCCGGTTCGAATCAATCTCCCGGGGCGCAGTGTAAGTATGAACACCGGCGCGTGTGAGCTGACTGGCAGGTCACGTGCGGTGCGGTAGAGTGTGGGTACTCCCACCCCTTTCAGAGTCAAGTCAATTTAGAATTAATTTATTTTTTTGCACGCGCGGTGCAAAATCACTGCCGCCCTGACAATATACTGCTGCGGCTCATCAGAGTCGGTATTGGGGTCCCAGGCAATGGGGCAGTGGGGCAGTGCTATTAGTTGAAGCTGATTTTGTTCAAGCAGGTGAGGAGTCAAGGGAGCAGGATGAGTCTCATTGGCATTGGTCTGCCGGTAGCGGACAGCGATCGCTATGCATATCCCAATCGAGCAATTTGCGGGTAAGTTTCACCGAAATTTGGCGAATGAGCGTGCCCATAACCGTGACGGGGAGAAAGGGGTGACGAGGGGAGGGTTAGAGTACGAGGTTAGGGCTACGGACTCACCGAAGCCATGCACCAGATGGCAGCTGTATTGCGCAAAGCGGCGTCCACTGGCCCAGGCGTGAAATTAAAAAAAATACGAGCACAGAAACCCCCCCCCCCCGCCCCTCCCGTCGTGGAGCGTACCTCCCCGTCCTCCAGCGGCACAATCCTGGAGTACTCCGTGGTGCAGATGACGTCGTCGTCGTTGCGGATTTTCTCGAGGGTCTTCGCTCCAAACAGCTCCCAGCAGTCGGTCTTTGAAGCTGCGGGGGGGGGGGGGGGAGGCGGGACGGCACCGGGCCCGGCAACGCACGCTCAACAAACACGGAGCCCTCTCGCGCTTGCGCCACGGGCAGTGATCAACGGTGGCCGTGACGAGGACCCCTTTGAGATTATTCTTCACTTGCGTAGTCAATAAAAAGGGTCACATTTTAAAGTGATGTGTTATTTTTTTTCCCCAAACCGCTGAACGCCGTCAAAACTCGTTTCCACGTGGTTCCAACATCCCTCGCCCCATTAAAAAAAAAAAACGGAACTCTTCCCAACTCGCGCCGCCTGCCCAGATGGCGTCAAATGTGTTTGCGTGCGATTGCCCACTTTGATTAGCCACTGCAAACGAAACGTCGTGGTGTTTAACGTCAGCCTCGTTCAGCCGGCGAGCGATCGCCAAGCCACGCGGTATGCATGTGTGTATGTCGAACGTCTTTCGCACCGCACGTGGCCAACCGTGCCAACTCCTCGGTGTCCGTGTGTCGTTCCCGTAGACCTCCGCTGGCCTGAGGTCGGTGGACATCCATCGCCAACGGTTTGAACGGTACCACAGCCGCCGTGCCGGTTCGTTTAACGAAGACCCTAACCCAACGGTGAAGGTTGGTCGGCCGCGCAAGGGGCCTATTCCCCTGGTGCCACCTAGTAACCAGTCCAGCGAGGGCCTCGTCAGCCGCCGACCTCCGTCGCCCCTGGGGGCGCCTCATTCGTTTACAAGCGTGGCGAGTCTCACCGCTCAGTGCGAGCGTGGCACGGTGCCCCGTGCCCTATCGGTGGTGCCGAGCCAGCGATGTAAACTCCTCATTCCACATGGCGGGGACCAGCCCTCTCCATTTTTCAGACGCTGTTGACTTGACGACAATTACGAGCTATGAAGAAGGGCCACTGCCTGAAACGCCACCAATTCAATATATTTGTTTTTATCCCTTGAAGGTCACAGTGCAATCGACGAATATGCTGAGGAGTGTTTTTTTATATTCTTGGTTCTTTCGGTAAAGTCATGTCGATAGAATTTTTTTTTAAATATATATTTAACATTCAAATTATAAATTGAAAATAATAAAAGCAAAAAACCCACGACGTTTCGATCGCGACACAAGCGGCCTTCATCAAGCGTGACTTTACCGAAAGAACCAAGAATATGAATTCCTGCAGTCACGAAAGTTTTAAGTCAAAATTTAACCGCCTCTACAAAGAGTATATTTGCTTTGGCACCACTGCCAACGCGGCATCACCAAGCAATTTGCTTCGTGTGGATGAGGCCACGTGAAAATTACGTCGGAAGTAGATCTATGAATTTCCACGCGTCATCCCCCCGATTATGCTGCTCCAAAATGATTTAATTGTCCGTCAAACTCAACACATTCATCAGCGACTACCCTTGAAAGGAAAGGTGGACACTCGGTGACGTTTTGAGCAACGACCCTCCTTCCTCGCTGATGCTTGCCGTGCTTCTGCACCACTGCAGCAACAGCAGCAGCAGAAGCAAAAGCGTCACCAACGACGTTTGCTGTATATTTTGTCGCACACACATACGACTCATCTCACAAAGGCCAGACGGTGGACGGGCGGCCGAGTGGACCTCACACTGGAATTTAAACCTCGTAACCTTCTCATCGCGTGCCGATGCAAAGACAAAGATCCCCTGTATAGCCTTAACTGGACTGTTGGGGCAAGTGCTGCTAGCGGGCACTTACAAAGGGTGGGTGGCCAGCACCGCGCCCGGCCGCCTTTGTCTCACCGTCAGACACATCTAGATGTCATCTCCGGAAACGTAAAAACGTATCCTTTGGTCTATCGCCGATTAGTTAGCAAACTCTTTGATTCAATTGACTGTGTTGCAGTCACCCATGCTCTTATCAGATAAGGCGTTACAAAAAAAAACACTTGCAGACATAATCCGTACAACGATCTACTCAGAGGGGGCTGATAAACCCGGGTCCCATGAAAAACACAGCAAACAGCTCTGAGATCAAAGGAAGCATCCGATTGAAACACAATCACTGCATCAGCTCTGGGGAGTGTGCCGCTGGCGAAGACAATTGGAGCAATAACGTTCCCTGAACAGAGAGAAAACTCAGCAATGCAAAAGTGGACACGTGACTGGGTCACGCAGAGGTCACCGTGCTGAGCTGCCACCACTGAGAACCGAGGATCGGATCCGGGCAGTGTTCTGTGATTAAACTGGGTTTAAAAAAAAAACAAATATGTTGTATTCCACCTCCTCACTCATATCATACATTGCCACATCCTGACGTTCTGGACGGCATTACCAGACACATCGACAGTATCAGAACACCAAACTCAGCAGAGCAGGCGGGGAGGAGAAGAGACATTTTATTTGGGGAAGGTCATTGTCTTTCTGGGCTGAAGTGGACCTGGTTGATGGTCTCAGCCCTGTGGCCAATGACGGCAAAAAACATTTCCATCAATTTTTATTTTTCGCTTTTATCATAGAATTTCGAGAGTCGTCATTGATATTGTTACGATCAGCTTTCTATATTCTTGGTTTAGTTCGGTAAAGTCACGTAGATAGAATACAAAAATCGCAATTAAAAGCAAATTGTCTAAATCAGCTTTCTACTTTGCTGAGATTTGATTGATAATTGCGAGTGTAGTTGTATTTTTATGTGCGGTGCTTTGAGATTTTACTTCAACATGAAAGGCGCTTTATAACATAGAGGTTATTATTATCGTTGCGTTAAATGTAGTTGAATTCCAGCTCTGAAGATAAAAAAATATCGGTTTGGCTTTCGTGCGACGAACGGACAGGAAGTGCTGCCCTCTCCTGCGCATGGACCAAGGGGCCACTTGGAGGGATGTCGGAGGTAACTCCGTGATATACCCGCTTTCGTAGGCCAATATCCACCACAACGGGTCTGCACTGCTCCAAGAAAGATCCGAAAAGAGAATCTCGTGAAATGACGGCGATTGGCACGATTGGGATAAAATAGCTGGAATTTAGCCAAGTGCATTTTATGAATACCAGGCTAATGCCATGAACTCACTCCCATTTGATAACCAGGTTTTAACCACAGGTGGCTGTCTGGTTCCACCTTCATTCATTATTCCCATCGACATTTCTATATATTTTAAATTTTGGCCTAAGTTTGTGACCACCTGGAAGACTCTACCAATATGCACCGATTCAAAATAACTTTTATCATCTACAAAGGCGAAGGCACATCATACATGGTATTTCATATTCATTGGCCGACGAACCGTTGGGGGATATGGAAATGGACACTCACAAGCGAAGTACTGCCACGGAGCGTAGGACTGCCCAAAATCCGTGGAGCGTTCCAGCACCCACAGGTCCGGCCTTGGCGAGTTGGCAAACTTGATGAGCACGTAGGCCACGTGGTAAAGCTGCAACACAGGAGGACGATGGCGGCAAAAAAATCATCAGCGGGCACCCTCAACACCGCACTCCATTAACCGGCGAGTCACTCAAGGGGGCACCCAACGCGCGAGCGCTCTCTTTCTCGTGGCCGTAAAAGAGCGACTGGCAAAACATCGTAAATGGCGCTCGTCAGGCCTGGTAATCCATCCTGATGGTACTACGGGTTGCTTAATGTGTTGCGTTCGTTAAAAATAGGGTTACACATTTGTAACGTGCGGTTTCCTGAGGTTCGGAGGCACGAGACACAACAGATAAGCGGGGGAAGGCAGCCAGAATTGGGCGGCAAGAATTGCCCGAGTTTCCGCGACCTTAAAATCGGGACGTTCGGCCAAACTCCACGAATGAGGAAACCGGAGTACGAGGAAAAAAAACCCTCGCGTGCGAAGCGTGCAACACTCCATCATCCCCCTACAGATGGAAACAGACGGGATATTAGTCCACTTGCTGCACCGCCATCTCCTGGCGTGCCAGGGTATGGTGGCCTCGGCGCTCACGAGAAGGGAGCTTCACGACATTTGTGCGGCGATCCCTCAACCCTCGCCGCATCCACAGTGCTGGATTACAGGCCATGCGTGCAGCCACCACTGCCCGTGCAAGCGGTCGGGATTCCACTTCGCCACATTCACGAAAAGGGCAAATCCAGTTTAACACGTAGGCTTTCGTGGCCAATATTATCCATGATGGGTTTTTTTTTTTGGGTTAGATCACGTAAATAATATAAATGTGTTGTTTTAATGTGTCGCTACTCTCCAACACACCAGGCGTGCTGAAGCAGCAACTAATTGGCATGTTCTGTTTATGTGACAAACCTTACTAAATGGCTGTGTCCGTTGGTGGCGGGTTTAACAACACATTTATATTTAGGCGATCTAACCCAAAAAAAAAAACCTCCATTCGGGCAACTCCAGTTCGAAACTCGTTAAAAGTCCCTTTTTACATTAACAATCCTCGTGCCTATCCACTGCTGGATGAGGGGCCCCCTCCACGCCATGCGGCTCATGGGGATTGTTATTTCCCTCACACTGGTCGGTGCGGGTTGGTGAAGCATAGAAGTACAGTAGAACAATGGACGTTGCTGCACTGCACAACTCGGCTGACAACGTAGCCCCCCGGGGCAGCTGACAACAGCGGCCTGTTGTTACGCACGGTGGCAGGAACCCACCCGAACGCCATCCAGGCTCAAAACCTGCTTAGCTCCTGGGATGCGACGGGATTTGGGCGCGTTCCAGGTGACTTGGTCATGGGGCGTTTGCAAAAACAATGAAGGCTAAATTGAGACGTCATACAGGAGGCCTCACGAGCACAATGATGGCGACACGGTCTGCAAGTCAGCGGGTCTGTTCGATCATTGCCTGTGGCGGGGTCATCCGGATGGTTTCACGTTGATGCCTGTGCATAATCACGGGGGTTTCATTCGTGCCTTCTCCTCACTCGGGTCAGTGACTCAGAGGCAAAACGTGTCGGCAAGTAAAGGCCATTAATTTGAAATGAAACAAACGCAGACGACGCATTCTACCGCTTCGCCCCCTTCTACGCTACGCGAACAAAGACTACGCCACTCTCCTCTGATTCACGCTCTCTGCGTCGTCTGGGTTTTTTTGCATTCTATGGCGTAGGACAATCGGTTTCAAAGACGATGCATATATCATCAGAGCATGCGTGTCTCAATGTTTTTGCCACAAGTACGTGCGGTCAATGCGGACTTGACGCCCTGCAAAAAAAGGTTTCCATTTGGTGTTTGAACATCTTAGCGCCTCAAGTTTCAATTTGCCAGAAAGGGTAAAAGCACGTTATTTTTCAACGGTTCTACTAACTTGATTCCTGTGTCTGTCGTGGTCAAACCTTGTAATCAAAATTTCGTCCACTTCCCGTTGTCCAATAAATGCCACATTTTGCACACGTACTCAGATCCGGTGACAATGCATGCCTGTATCAAAATCGGCGCCAATTCATCAACTAATTCGCTACTTTAAAGCAAATCACATTTTGTATGGACGCCTTATTATTTATATATATTTGTTTAGGTCAAAAACGCCGTGGTCCCCAAACTGTGGAATCGGCTCGCACAAGAAGCAGGCGCCATTGACGTACTTCCCAAAGACCGTGAGTTAAAAAAAAAGTTTCAATGCTAAATTAAATGCTAATTCCTTTGTCAAGGCGCTTTGTTTCTTCTCACACAGCTTAAAGGTCGTGATCTGAGCGTGGCTTTTTTCACTCCAGCGCTCTCCTCCAGACAGTCTCGTCCCTTCACCTGATGAAGGCCGCTTGTGTCGTGGCCGAAACGTCGTGATTTTTGTTATTTGATTTTTTACCTACGTGACTTTACCCAATAGAACCAAAGAGTATAAAAAAGTTGTTAATAAAACCGTTGTTTAAAAAAAACACTTTTTTAAAACCAGTTTTATTTTTTTTCAACTTCTTGATCCTGGCAACAACAACAAAAAATGTCCCAAAGAGAGCATGGGATGTGCGTAACGTCGAACCTCCTTCGTACGTGGCCAACGGCACTAATCGGGAGGTGCAGTGTGTGCGTTCCACCACGGGGGGTTGATACTGTGCCACGTGTCATCTGCTTGACTGTTGTTGTTGCGACGTTAAATGAGCAACTGAAGCGTGCCTCTTGTTGAAGGTCGGTCGGCCAAAACATCATCGCCCTCCGTCTTTGGGACCTTCCCGAAATGCAAGTCACGTTGAAAAGCTTTCGTCGTCGGTCAATCCACTGCTGGATGAGGGCCTTCCCCACACTCCCCCACTCCCCCACCAAAGCCACTTGTCACAACCCCGCGATGTGACTGTAATTCACCCACATTGGTCGGTCGGCGTTCCATCGATCACTTATTAACTCTGGGGTGTGCTTACAGTCGCACGAGCGCGCACACACGCGTAGCGATGTGTGGGGGTGACACCAGCCAGCACCGCTAGCAGCTCCACATGGCTCAGAGGTCACTCGCCGCTCAGCTGGAAACCGCTCAGAGCCTGGGTTTGAACCCAGCTAAGCCGCCCGTGATTCAACTGGGTTCTCACGTGGAGCGAGGGGTGTATGGTCTCGGCCTGAACAGCAGTGAGCGCGCAAAAATAAACGGCGCATTAAATTTGGCTCCGTGCTAAATTTGGCTGAAGTCCACGACAAACATTTCCCTTTGGTGGCAGGGGAGTGGTGAAGTGCAATTGCCTTCTGTGCGAACTTCTTTTGCACCGTATGTAGGCAACCGTCACTTGAAGGGAACTCGGAAGTAGTACAGTGACATCTGCTTGAACAAGTGAGGTTGTGCACTTCTCTGCGTGAGAGATCCGAATGAGTTTCAAGTTCAGCTTTAATGACATGGCCAATTTTATTTAATCTAGATTTGAAGCTTTCGTGACCTGCAGGAATCCATACTCTTTGGTTCTTTCGGCAAAGTCACGTCGTTAGAAAATAAATCAAATGACGTTTCGGGAGCAACAGGCTTGTGTTGCTTTCCCACCTGATGACGGTCGCTTGTGCTGCTCCCGAAACGTCGTGATTCATTTGTATTTAGTTTAACCAGGTGAGAACTCGTGAGACGAGCCCCACTTGCAAAGATGAGTGACCCGGCCCGCCAAGATGACAAAAGCGAAGTCAACAAAAACTAAGCGGAGCGATCAAACGAACAAGTACCTTGCCCAAATCGGGATCAAAAACAGGGGAAGATATTCCAAGCAACATTGTCCGTCGTGCCCACGCAAGCCCGCAATCGGCGAGACGGCAGGCTTGGTGGCTCGCGCAAAGACCGTGCCCACAAAGCGCAACACCCGCCCGCCATGCAAAGGAGACGCCTGCAGGAGGAGGAGGCAGTACAGCAAGTAGGCTACCGACAGGCCCCTCTATCTGTGCAGTTGCTCCCCATTGTGATCGCACTCCCACAATGCACGCGAGCTTCTCCCGTAGCTTTGGCTAAAGAGGGCGGTGGAAGGAAAGGCCCCGAGAAGAGGGTGCCACGGGCTCCAGGCACACCGCAGAACTTCTTCGGTCTTTAACCGGCGTGGCGCGACACTTCTCGGCGTGCGGAGTTTCAGTGGAGGAGCCTATTTGGCATCACTGTGGTCGGATTAGACCGCGCAACGGCCACTTACGAGCTGTGTTCAAGGTTCGAAGGGGGTTTCCGAAATCGAGATTTTCGGAACGGCGATAACTGGCGCTGTGTCCAAATGCGCACTCGAGTGCTTTGTGTATCCGACCGTTAAATACCTCGTTTGCAATATTCCTAAAGGACATCGACGCTCTCTGCGATGTTCACGTTTTTGTCTTTCGCTTTGTTGTTGTCACTGCTGTGCTCACGGGCCACGAATCTCCCCCGGTGTAAAAACAGGGATCAGCCGTGTAACAAATCAAATGAATTCAAAACTCAACACAAAGGATGGACCTTCATGTCCACGCACGTGGACGTTACACTTTAAATCACGCCTGCGATTTAAAGTGCGTCGATCAACGGCAGTGCTGGAATAAAAGTCCGCGGTTCGCTCTTGAAAAACTGACACCAGCAAAAATCCATCGATTCAGCCGATGGGAATTTGCTTGATAATGGAGACAATGACTCTATGCGTGTCCAATTCGAGAAGGACATGTGCCGTTCCCACATTCCCTCCATCATCTCCTCGGACGCTCTCCGCTATCAGCAGAGCTGCCTGTATATCGACGGCGTGGAACCAAACAGAGATAAAGCCCTCCCCACCGAGTCTGCCCCACCAACCCTCCCCAGCAATCCCTCCCCACCAATCCCTCCCCCCACCGAGCCCTCAAATCCGTCGCTCCGTTGTACCCCGTGTCGGGCACCAGTGAATGGTGCGGACAACAGGCGGAGAAAAAAAAAACCCAACGCTTTAAATCCCGATAAGATCGGTACAGCGACGAAAGTTGCATCCAGCCTGAGAGGGAAAACTTGGAACAGCCTCCCCCTTTTGAGTTTGAGCCACCACCACCACCACCACCCCCCATCTCCTCAATCCC